TTGTGGTTGTGGTTCTTTGATGTGCGTGGACGAAATCGCAATTCTGAAGGGGCCCTGGGACACACAAATAAGTACACACAAATAGCCGGACTCCCCATGTTTTCCATCTTTTCTGGGCTCTTGTGTTCCCCCCACTTCCCATACCTTCCCAGATTCTCCTGGGGATCGACGATGACTTGTGTCTGTGTGCTTTCTTCCCCTCCTGAAACTCACCGACGAAAGTCGGGGATCTTCTGACCCGGGTCAATCCAGACCCGGGTCAGCAGGAAACCCAAAAAACTGAAAATGCAAGAAAACAAAAAAAAACTGCAACGCAGGGCTTCGCAAACCCGGGTCAGCCCTTATGCGCGGCCGCCTCGCGGCCTCGAGCGGCTCGCAAACCCGGGTCAGCCAGAGGGGGTCTTCGCAGGATCCTGCAGGATCCGGTGCCCTGGCTGACCCCCGTTCGCATTGACCCCGTCTCTTGAGCCCCGACGAAAGGCAGCGGCGCTCCACGCCGGGCCCCGCGCATCGCCTGCCGCCCGCGGGCGGCGCAGCCAACGCCGCCGCGCGGGCGGGCCGAGAGGCCCCCGTCGGAGACTCGCCCGCGCCCCCGGGGGGCAGGGCGCGGGCGAGGGGCGGAGGGCCGCTCTGCCAACCGAGCGGGCGCGCGCCCAGCGAGAGTTCGCCCTCGCACCGAAACGAAGAGGCCTTGGGACACACACGCACACACACACACACGCACACACACACACACACACACGCACACACACACACACACACACACGCACACACACACACACACACACACGCGCGCACACACACACAAAAATAAATGGACACAGATGACAGGACTCCCCATAGATTCCCACATCTTCGGGGCCTCCTCCTCCCCCCCAAAAAAAGACCCATACCTCCCCATCTTTCCTCGGGAATCGACGATTCATTGTGTCTGTGTGTGTGTTTTTCCCTCCTGGCCAAAACACTGCGTCCGCCCCGCCTCCTCCGCAAAGCGGCGCCTCCGCGCTCCGGCCGGACTCGGGCACGACGCCACGCGTGCACCCCCGCCAAGAGGCAGGACCCGCCCAGCGCACGCTGCCGCGCAGCGCATGGAAGACTGACGGGGCGTGGGCCGCTGCGCCGTCATCGCTTGCAAAACGCAGACATCTGAGATCGGCGCGACCGAGACGTGCAAGAAATCAAGATCATGGATCCGCTCTCCACGGCATCGAAATCGCAAGCCTTCGCGGCGAGCGCAAACCCCCAGTGGGTCGCAAGCGCCTGCAGAACCCTAGCAGGCGCCCGAACGACAGCGCGATCAGTGGCGCGAGCTTCCACCAAAAGGGTCCTGATGTCGAACAAAGACCTGAGCTGGGCCATCCTCTGCGCGCGCCTCCGACGGCGCCGGGCACACATGATTTCGGCCTGATCCGCAAGCTGCCGCACGTTGGCCGGCGCGCGTCGCGCAAGGCGCTAGACAGCTGGGCGAAGAAAATTTGGAGGCGGGGGAGATGTTCTTGTCATCGACCCGAGAAGGCGTTCTCCACAGCGAGAACGAGAGCGATGAAAGCGGGAAGCTGGCTGTCACCGCTGCGGAAACATCATGGATTCAACGAAAGACCTGGCCCTGCCCATGCTTCTTATAATCATGTAGCGCGCGCGGCGACTAGGAAAGTGTGGAGATGCTTGCATTTCCCGCATGTCTTGTCCATTGCAGCATCGGCATCGTGAGCTGTTCTAGACGTTGAAAAAAACGATCGGCGTGAATAGTTGTCTGCGTCCCGCGCCTGCTGCATATTTATGTGCATGTACACATACATATTCCTCTTCCTATCTTTTTACAAGCCTGGGCGGGGGGAAAACCCGTCACCCCCCCCCAAAAACCGAACTCCCGGGATCTGGGGCTTTGGGACCCTCCGGACGGGCCTCGAAGCGGCCACCCGGCCTCGCAGGGCGTTTTGCCAAGCCTTCCCAGCACACCTAGGGCGATCAGGGGGGTCATCGGAGATGTCCCAGGGACCCCTAAGACAGCACAAGAGCGCTCAAAGAGTGACCGACGTGACCTCAAGATGGCCCAAGAGGCCTCCAGGACGGCCCCAAAGAGGCCTCCAAGAGCACTCCCAAGAAGGCCCCCGCAGCAAAAATAATTGATTTTCTGCGGTTTTTTTGTGAATTTTGGGGTTCTCCTCTTTTCGGCTTCCCGACGCTCCAAGACGGCAGTCTTCTGGGCGTCCGAAGCCACCTGGGAGGCTCCAGAATCGCCCCACAACCATCCGTAAGGGCTTCCAGGCAGTCCAAGGGAGCCCAAAAACGGCACAACACGGACCCAAGATGGCCCTCAGAGAGCCCCATGGCGGCCCAAAATGGCCCAAAGACACCCTCCGAAGAATTCCAAATCGTGATTCGGTCGTTCAGGGAGACCGCGGTTGGAGGAAGGGTTGCCCGAGGAAGCCCCCGGAGGCCCCCAGAATACGCCCAGGAGGCCTCCAGAAGGCCTTAAGAAAGCCTGAAACAACTTTTGTGAGGCCCCTAGAGGCTCTCCAAGGAGGAGCCTCCACAAAAAAGAGCTGAGGAGGATGGGGAGAATGCGCAGGGTATGGCGAACATAAGGAAAAAGAAGCATGGAGGAAGGATAACGAATAACATTATTATAGCGGCGATGCCGGAAAAGGCAACAAGGAGTTATCGCTAATTTGTCGGCTTGACCTTCCTACTATTCCGCCTGCATGCCAAACTTCAAGGACCAAGGTGCATGGCGCGAAGCGCCGCTGCAGTCTTGAATATATATATATATATATATATAGGAATATGCCAGCAGAGGGCTCGGTTCGGAGCATGAGCACTGCTTCACTGTCGCGCGATTCGACATCTGATCAGCTGCCAAGACTTCGGGCCCCTCTAACACATCCACGCCAGTCGAATATTGCGAGACCAGCAAGGCAGCGAGGAATACACTTGGTCGATAAGGTAAGACATGATTCGTCCGGGTAATGCAGTGGAAGGAGGTCGACAGCTCAAATTCACTTCAGGAGGGAGCGGCCGAGACTCGAGCTCAACAGACCCATTCAGGACGTCAGTTTCGGGGTCATGCGAGGCAAAAATTGAAAGCGGAGATATTGAAGCACCCCAAGATACAGACGGTCCAAATAATAATATTGAGCACCGGGAGTGGAAGCACTGACATTCGCGGACCAAAAAATCACGGGACTCATGCGAAGATGATTAAATAATGTAGCGCTGCGCCCAGCACGTAGCATTCTAAGTTCCAAACTTCGTGAGAAGCGCTCGCCCAGGGATGCGGGGGACAGAAGCGGAGGCATGCAGATCATGCAGAAAATTCACCGGCAGTTCCAACGGATGCCGAGAAGCGAGTAAAAAGTCCGATCACGCCACCTGCCACGAGTTCGCGTACAAAAGAAGAGAAAGAACGCGGCTTCAAAAGGAAGATCGAGATGGTGGATGAGATCAATACACTCGCATTATGACCCATGAGCCTCGGGCCACGTAACAATGCTGCCTCGCTGGGGCCGCCGCCTCAACAAGCGGATCTTGCACGCTCGAACTACGTTGTCGTGATGGAACTAAGCACTGGAAGCCCGAATCAAGACACTGAAAGATAAAGACCCAGAAGCCGAGGAGAAGAGAAGGAACCGTGCCAAAAGGCATACGGGCTGTTAGAAACTCTACACTGTCGCCGCGCCACTCTGGCAACAGGCTGTACCAAGAAGGTCTGGAGGTCCAGCCCTTTTGCCACGAGGTTGGCGCGGGCTCACTGCACAGCAGGCTCGTCTGACGGCACTGGAAGGATCTTGACCAAATGGCGCCAGTGGGAATGAATTCATCAAGTGTGCTCGTTCGGAAGACACCCACAAAAGCAACAACAAAAGGCGGCGCGAGGGTACGTGTCTCTCGGCGCACGTAGCACCCCCTTGCAATATGTATCGCACTGTACTTACTGAGCCCGACCGAAAGCTCAGGCGGCTCAGAGCTAGTAGGCAGCGCTGTGACGCACCTCCACCAGCGCCCCCAGATGCAGGTTCGGCACGCACGTTGCTAAGAGCGCATGGAACTCTCCACGGGGCCAAACCTCCCAAATTGGTGACTCTGATGGCATGCTTGTTGATTGTCGGGTCTCCGCCCAACAGCCGTTCATCCCCAGCAAGACTGGGATCTTCACGCAGTGGGCGAACAAGGTCTGCAACCGCGGTAGCTGTGACCAACAAGCGGGGCCGCACGATGAGAAGGAGGTGTCAAACTCACGATCGAATGCAGTCTGGTGCACATGGCTCGACGGGAAAGGGATCCTCTCCGAGTTTGGTGAGAAGCTCTTGGATTGCACGCTCAGCTCCTGTGAGACGATCATATTGGGCATGTTGGGGGTATGCTCCACAACAGACGTCCTGGTCTCCATCTGGCTGGCGATGCAACGTGTTGCACGAGTCGACGATCGACTGCTTGAGGCCAGCCATGGCGAGGGTTAATATGTTGGACGCCTCCGCGACAGAGGACAATATTGACTGCATGCTGGTGTCGACTTGGGACTTGAGACGATCGAAAATGCGACGAAGGTCAGCATCAAAGGCTTTACGGAGTCTGTGATTTCCACGGTTCTCACACCGTCTCGGCGACGATGGAGGGGACATGAGCAGGACAGGTTCCTGCGTCGGGAAGGTGTTCCCGGCGCCGAGCGCCGCGACGAATGATGCCGTCACCTCCTGGGGCCCTTGAGGGAGCGGCGACCTGTGCTGCCGATCCACTGCTGCCATGCATTTCTCGCCTGCACGAGACTCTGGGCACCCGCAGCGAAGGCTGGCCGGACCAGTAGTAAGTGGTGGCATGGAGGATGAAGTGCTGGGGACGGCGCGCCTCGCTCCCCTCGCTCGAGCCTTCCAGCCACGGCTTCGCCAAAGCTGATCAGGACCCGGCACCTTGTAGCCTCATCCGTGCAGCCTTGAGCCAAAATTGCTGCGGACATCACCTTCCTCGTCCCTCTTCCCCTCCTCCGGCTCCGCCGCACTCGCTCCTCCCTCCTCCCTCCGCACGGCAGGCTGGAGACGCTGAGCCTGGGGCGACTCGGCTGGAGCCCGTCTCTTGCGGCTCCTGCCCTCCGAACCGCGCGCCGCCTGCCCGCCTCAGCTCCTGCCTGCGATGTGGTCGTAGGACCCCTGGGCCGTTGCCTGGACCTGGAGGTGCGGCGCGGCGCCGGGCCAGTGGGCACAGACCCCCCCCTCGCTCGGAGCAGCGGCGCAGGGCTTCGACCGCGCTCGGCCTCTCGGGGCCCCCACCGGGCCCCGAGAGGCCGTTAAAGGACGACTCGGGGCGGGAAGCGGGTCCCGGCGGAGGGGTCGGGACCTCTGGGGGCCTGCACGGGGAGAGAGCGCTGAAACGGAGGGCGAAGAGAGGTTCAGGTGGCAGTCTGGGGCCCCTCGATGGCCGCTGTCCCGCTGACCCTCGATCGCCCCCTTGTCATCAGTTCTTGGCCATCCCATGAATTTGCCATCCCGATCGATTTCCACCCGAGTCGCTCAGTGAAAGCCTGGCGCCGTGGAAAAAACACGACGGACGCTTGTTTCCCCCGTTGTGGAGCCCCAGATCCTCCCAAGCCGAAGCAGCTCGAGAATTTCCACGTGGGGGTGGGTTCTTTCCTCCCCGAGTGCCCTCTGCCGCGTGTAAATGCGTTGGCCCTTCCTGGACCTCCAGCATCCTGCAGAGGCCTCCGGGCACCTCCAGAAACCTTCCTGGGGATGCCCAGGGACCTCCAGAGGTGGAGCTGGCTAAGGGGGTCTGAGCTGGATGGGCCCAGAGAAGTTCGGCCAAGGCGGAGGGGGGGTGAAGGCCAAATCCGTTCCAAACCGGTCCCTGAACCCATCCGGGGGCCCATCTGGCGCAGCTTTTCGCCCGAGATCCATTTCTGACCCGACGGTTCCAGGGACCGAAGACGGCCCTGGAGACCGAAACAGGCAGCAGAGCTTTCTGGAACCCAGAACCTCGAACCTCCGCCCCCCCCCCCCTTCCTGCTGGCCGGAACCAGCGCTGAGCCACTTCCGACCCCCCCCCGACTCCAAATCCGGAGACCTCCAGGAACGTCTGGGGACGACCCCGTCGTGATCGATAGCTCTGGTCGTGACTGTTGTCCAAGGCGCCCTGTCTGTTCTACTGTGTCGGATGTCGGGGAGTGGAGACACGCGTGGAGGAGCAGGAAGAGGGCGAGTCAGAGCGTCCGCGGCCAGTCCCACTGGGAAGAGGCGGAGGAGGAGCAGAAAGAAGAAAGCAAGAGACAGGGGCCCCTCGCCTTCCCACCAGTGGTGCGATGGAGAGGGTGGCAGGGAACACGAGGACAGCAGGCAGCGGCAGGTTCCGAGAGGGCCTTGGATCAGGGATGGGACGCCGGAGCGCGAGACCTGTTTTCCCCAGCAGTGTCGGCACGAAAGGGCTTCTCACTCTGCTTTCGGCGGCGAGCCCGTGGGGGAAGTGAGAAGGGAGGGGCCTTCTCAGAAGGCTCGGAAGACCCCCGCCCTTCTGAAAAGTTTTCCAAGTCTTCCCCGAAGACACAGGAAACTTTCAGAAGGCGCGAGAGCGTCTGAGAAGTCCCGCCGCCTTCTGAGAAGGCCTTCTCCTTCTCACTTCCCCCCGTCGCTCGCCGTCGATCTTGTCCCCAGACATCCGACGGTATGCTTTTGCGTGGCCCCAAAGGTCTCCTCGACCCTTTCCCCAGGGGCAGTTTTGGGCCCCAGATGGTCCCGGGGCTAGATGCCAGACACTGGAGGCCGAAACCAGGGAGAAGCGCCAGGAGTGAACCGTCGGAGATCTGGGCAAGAAACCGACCCCGAGCGCCGCACTTTCCGACGTCCGCCTTGGCTCCCTCTTTGGGCTCCCATTTACCAGCATGGAACATATCCCTATCCCTATGCTGGGCATCTCCTCATCACGATGCCAATCTTAGGGATTCCCTTATTTTTTGAGGGCGCATCCCTAAAGTTGTCGTCGCTTTTTGGCGTGTCAATCTTAAGGATAGGGATAAGTTCGAGGCTGGTAACCCATGCACCCCCGTCTGAGGGCTGCACGGCGCCGCCGTGGCCGCCGGGTGCGGTCACGGACGCTCCCCAAGCTTCGCGCCCCCCACGGGCCATCATCGTCACGCAAAAAAAACTACATCGCAGAAACCCCATGACGACTTTTCCTGGCCTCAACGCTGGTGTACAGTTCGCAGTGTGCTGCTAGCACGGCCCTCCGTGGGAGCTCTGCGGAAAATGGCTGCGGAGGTAAGGAAGCGCTGCTGCGATCCCGCCCATCCCGCCTGCGCTGAACTGTGTACGCAACTATTTTGCCAGAAACTGAGTTCGGAACGATCTTTACATGATGCTCAGAGACTAGAGGCGGACAAATTACAACCCACAGGTAACATGGAGTCACTGTTTGGGGCACACGCGGTGCAACGTTGCTTGCAGCCCAATATAGGCAGCAGACAAGGCACCGGCGGCAGGCCCATCAAGACACGGAGCGGCGTGGCAAGCGCAAAGCGGAGGTCCTTCGCGACAACGTGGTGCGGCATGATGCCGAAATGCATGGCGATGTGTACAATACCTACTACCAATAGCGCAAGACCTCCCAGACTGCTGCTCCAAGACCAGGCAGGTTGAAACCAAAGCCACCCAAGCAAGCGAAGGGTACGAAGAAGGCCAGAGGGAGTGGTGATAAAGTTGCCCTGGACCCAAACGGCCCGATCCCATCTGGCTCGCAGATCCCCCGACCCTGTCGGCTTGTGTAAGGAGGGGTCCTGGGGTGGTCGTTCAAGGGTGGTGCTCTGAGACGCTTTTCTATTCGAAACCATCCCCCCTTTCCCTAGGGCCACAGCCAGAGGTGAATCGAACCAGGTCTTTATCAAATCGAAGGGAAGCCCCTGACAGTTTATCTTTACCGGTCCTGGAGGGGGGGGGGGGCCTCCCGAGTGGCATAGGTAATCGTGGGGCTACTTGGCCTCGCAGATGGCGCCAGATGACCCAAATTGGTTCAACGACGGCCCCAAAACGGCTCCGAGTGGCCACGGTGCATCCCGAGGACGCCCCCGAGAAGCCAACATCTTTCAAGATATGTTACCATGCATTCTCAACTATTCACCCCACACTGGCGTCTGATGCATCAAGATGGCCACAAGATGGCCCAAGAGAGCACCAAGATCGGACCCGAAGGGGTCTTAGAAAGCCTCAAGAGCGCCCAAGACCGCCGAAAGAGTGGCCCAACGGGGCTCCAAGACACGATTTTGGGGGCTCCGACGGCGCAAGGCTAATCCCACCAGCCCTCTGGGCATAGGTGGTTTAACGAGGTAGTCATTCCAATCCCTTCTGCCCCTTCTGGAATGGCCCCCTACCCCTACCCCCCCCCCGCAAGGTAGATGGCCCGAGATAGCCCAAGATGGCCTCCAAGGTCGCCGAAGAAAGCCCAAGATGGTTCAAGACACCTTCCAATGCGCCCGGCGCGACCCGAATTATAGAGGGGAAAGCTCCCCATTGCATGGACGCAGAGCTTGGTATTGTTTGGCATTGCTTGGCATTGCTTGACATTGCTTGGCATTGCTTGGCATTGCTTGGCATTGCTTGGCATTGTTTGGCATTGTTTGGCATCGCTTGGCATTGCTTGGCATTGGTTGGAACAGGCACAAGAAGAATACGAGGCACCAGGGACGGGGAACCCGGGGAACCCAGGGAACCCAGGGAACCCCAGGAACCTGGGGAACCCGGGGAACCCGAAGAACCCGAGGAACCCGGGGAACCCGGGGAACCGGGGGACCCAAGGAACCCCAGAAACCCGGGAAACCTGGGGAACACGGGGAACCCGAGAAACCCGGGGAACCCGGGGAACCGGGGGAACTGGGGGAACCTGGGGAACCCAGGGAACCCGAGGAGCCGGGGGAACCCGAGAAACCCAGGGAACCCGGGGGACCCGGGGAACCTCCGAGCAACGGGCAAAGTAACCCCCCGAGGCACCAAGCTTTAACCAAGTAAACACCCCTTAGGCAAGCCCAATCATAGAAAAATGTATCCAAAAGGCCCCAAGATCGCCCAAACACAGCTCCAATCAGTCACGGAGCCTCCCAAGGACGTCCCTCAGAGCCATAAATCCGTACAAAACTTATGTAACATCAATGATTATTGCCTTCTCGCCTTTTCGCTCACGCAGTGCTTGTGAGGCCTCGAGGTGGCTCCAAAATCGCCCAAGAGATCACCAAGAGGCGCCCAAGAGGGCTCCCCAGGAGCGCCCAAGAGCGACCCAAGAGCGCCCCAGAAGGGCCCCAAGAGGCAATAACGCGGCCTCTGTTGGGTGGACTGACATTAAGACACCCACCTTCTTTGAACGATGGCGTTCAAGATGGCCCCTGAAACGCTCCGAAGGCCCCCAAGAGAGCCCCAAGAGGGCCTCAGAAGGACCCCAAGAGAGCCCCAAGGGCCCAAGGGGGCTTCAAGAGGGTCCGAAGAGAGTACAAAAGGCCTCCAAAATAGCGTCAGCTGGCTCCAAGAGGCTCCACGAGTTCTCTAAATCAAATATTGTTGGCACCCTTGTTTCACTCTAGGCTTATCTACGCCCCTCTTCCAGACAGCTGTTCCGCGCATCTTTTCTGGATGGGCTGGTGGAGATAATCGAAGCGTCACAAATTCAGCCACCCCACTTTTGTGATCGATGCCCTCAAGAAGCCCCAAGAGCCCCAAGAGGCCCCAAGACACACCCAAGTAGGCCACGAAGGCCCCCGGGAGCCACAAAGAAGCCCCCGAAGATCCTGCAAAATGTCCCAAATGCCTTTGCATCACGACCCGCAGTGGCAGGATGGGCGGATGACCATTGCACTTTCGTCCTCGCATTAGAGCCGCCACTGTCCCGTGCCATGTGCCCCCTCCGCCTCTTGCGCCCAAACGGTTCATGTCTCAGGGTCGGCGGAACAAGCCGGAAGGCCTTTGCAGTACCATGCTACTTGATTCCCCCGAGAATGCACACGCAGCGCCACGGCTGCCACCAACTGTCCGATCACTGTCAAGATTATCATCAAAAGAAAGTTCAACTGAGACACCATGGACGGCCTTCTGGTTAGATAATGCACAGCCTTGCGGGTACAGCCCCGTGAATATGCGTGGACTTCAGAAAAGTAAAGATGCCAGGCATCAGGAAGCTGCTGAAGAAAAGTGGGCCCAGAAAAGATCGGCGCAAACCGTAGTGCAACCCTGCAAGCGCAAGCACTCCGCACGTCACTTGCGCATGACGTTCTGAATCAGCTTCCCCAGCCATCGTACTTCTCGCCAGGCCCGAGCATGCTACTCCGTAGTTTCCAACGCATTTGCAGCAGCATGCCAGATTGGAGGACCACGCGGCAAGGCGTCGCGGACAAAAAAATAAAAAGGATGCGTCCCGGGGAAGACGTACTCAAGCTGACGCAGCGCAAGGCTCCTTTCACTCTAGCCGAGAGCGGTCCCAGGCGCAGGGGCTGCCAACGCCCGTCGACGCGGCTGACCGAATTCGTGTGGGGCCTCTTTGTATGGTAAGGCCCCAGGTGGTCCGAAGTCCGCCCCATCGTCGGGATCGCTGCACCCTGCGGCCGAACCGACGCTTTGTCGCCGCTGCCGCCGCCGTCGTCGTCATCTTCCTCTTCATCGTCGCCGTCTTTATCCTGACCTTCGTCGGTTTCACGACCTTCTGCTGGACTCCCCACGGCCGTCCCCACGGCCCCTCCAGTCAGGAACGTCAAGAAAGACGCGTGTGTACCTTCTGGGAAGCCGAACCACAGGGACCCGAGGAAGACGTAGAACCTGCCCAGGGGCCACAGAAGGAGAGCAGGAGAAGGAGGAGGAGGAGGAGGAAGGGGAGGAAGCGGAGGAGGAGGAGGAGGAGAAGGGCGCAGGTGAGGTGGGAGCTGGAGCTGGACGCAAAAACAACGAATACAATGACCACCACTGAACGCGGAAACGCCAGTGTGTCGATCTTGGTCACCGCCCACCTTGGAGGGCGCGCCGCTGGGAGCCCCAGAGGCGGGGGAGGGGCCGTCGTCCTGGGACCGCCCCCTTACTTTCCCGATCCGTGGTCCCGGACCCCGCACCCCCCCCCCCTGCTATTCCCCCTTCGAAGTGAGGGGAGGGGGTTCAACCCCCCCCTTGAATTCGAAAATCAAGCCCCCCCCCCCCATACCCCCATTTGGCCACGCCGTCCCCCTGGCGCCGGACCCCAACCCCCGAACCCTACCGCCCTAACCCTAACCCGAACACCCTAACCCGAACACCGTAACCCGAACACCCGAACCCGAACACCCTTACCCTAACACCCGAACCCTAACACCCTAACCCTAACATCCTAACCCTGACACCCAAACCCGAACCCTACCGCCGTAAGCCGCAAGGAAGTCGACCCTACCGCCCTAACCCTAACACTACCGCCCTAACCCGAGCCCTACCACCCTAAGCGTAACACCCTGACCAAAACACGAAGACCTGAACACGCGAATCCAAACCCTGACACCATAATCCTGACACCCTGTCCCTGACACCCTAAACCAAACACCCTAAGCCGAACACCTTAACCCTGACACCCGAAGCCAAACACCCAAAGCCAAACACCCGAAGCCCAAAACCCTAACCCGAACACCCGAACCGTAACACCCTAACCCTAACACCCCGAACCCGAACCTTAAACCTAACACCCTAACCCTAACCCTACCACCCTAACCCTAACACCCTGACCCTAGCACCCGAACCCGAGTTTGCACCGCCCTGACCCGAACATCTTAACCCTTACACCTTAGCCTTGCCTAACGCTAACACCGCACACAGACCCCTACCGCCCAACCCGAACCCTACCGCCCTCACCCGAACACCCGAACCCAAACATCCCAGCCCGAACCCTACTGCCCTAAGCCCTAAGCTGTAAGCCCTCAGCCCTAAGCCCTGATCCATAAGTCCTCAGCCCTGGGCCCTAACACCCTAGCCCTACCGCCCTCCCTTGCCCAAACACCCACCCCAGTCCGAACCCTACAGCCCTAAGCCTTACCCTAAGGCCCACACCCGAACGCCCTAACCAAACACCCTAACCCAAACCCTACCGTCCTAAGCCTTGAACCTTCAGATCGAAAACGCCAAATGCTACTATCATGAATCTTGAAGACCACCTGGCGAGTATACACGTCTGTACCACGCACGGTCGTCTGCAAAAAAATACGCGGTGCACATTCGTCAATCCTTACATAGCCTTCTCGAAGGACCAACCTTCACGTCCGATGCAAGTGATTTGAATTGCCGCACACCCTGGATTTACACCATTCACGGTGGGAACCTACACTCCTCACGATCTTGAGCAAAAAACGAATGCTGTGCACATATGCTGATCTTAACATTGCCATCTCAAGCATTCACCCTTCACGATCCGATGTAGATAACAAACTGTTGCTGCACATCCCTGACCTACATCCTTCACGATGGCCCTCCACACCCCTCACGATCCCCTACACACATTAACCCGGCGCGACCCCAATGTGGAGAAAGCTTCCTATTGCATCGGGGCAATGCCTTGCATTGCTTGGCATCGCTTGGCATCGCCTGGCATGGCTTGGCATTGCTTGGCATTGCTTGGTATTGCTTGGCACTGCTTAGCACTGTTTGGCATTGTTTAGCATCGCTTGGCATTGCTTGGCATTGCTTCGCATTGCTTGGCATTGTTTAGCATTGCTGGCCTTGTTTGGAACAGGCACAAGAAGAATACGAGGCACCGAGAGCGGGGAATCACGGGAAACTGGGGAACACGAGGAACCCAGGGAACCCAGGGAACCTGGGGAACCGGGACCCCAGGGAACCTGGAGAACCCGAAGAACCCGGGGAACCCCGGGAACCCGAGGGAACAGGGGGAACCCCAGGAACAAGGGGAACCCAAGGAACCCGGGGAACCTCACAGGAACGAGCAGCGTAATCCCCTCGAGGCACGATCCTTTGACCAAGTAAGAACCCCTTAAACCTGCTGGTCTTAACGTCGACTTCTCAAGCCTCAAGCCTTGAACCTCCCCGATCCTATCCAAATTTTATGTTTGTCTGCACATCCCCGATCTACACCCTTCACGATGGAAACCTACCCCCCTTCACGATCCCCCGCGGAAAAATATGCGGTGCATACCGGCTGCTCTTACCGTCGCTTTCCCAAGCCTTCAAACCTCACGATTCTACGCAAACAGATGTTGTCGCACATGCCTGGATTTAACCCTCGAAGAACATCCAAGTCAGTCGCGAGCATATGCCACCGTGAGCAGTTTCCTCGGCTGCCTCCTACATGTAGCCGATTATTTGTGCAAGCGTGGCCTGCTCTTGCTCCTGGAGGCCTCCCGCAGGCACCGCTGCCCTGGGCGGGGCCCACGCCTGCCTCCCAAACGTAGCAGGCTACATTTGCAAAAATGACCAGTTATTGTTTTGGGGGGACTCCCGCAAGTCTCGCCGCCCTGGGCGGGCTCCCTGGTTGCTTCCCCGACACAGCCATCAGCAGCGTGTACGACTGCATCGCCGTCATCACCATCATCATCAGCAGCAGCAGCACCATCATCAGCATCACCAGCATCATCACCATCCCCATCAACAACAACAACTGCGTCGTCATCCTTATCATCCTCGTTGGTGCTAGGACGCGCTCGAAGGTGCACAGGATTCAAGACTGCATTGACCTGATGAGTGAGTAGAGTAATGTTATGATGTGGGCCATCCGACCATTCGGTCTCGAGTACTATGCCCTAAGACCGAAGCCCGAAGCCTCAAGCTCTGGGACCTAAGCCCTAAGCACTAAGCCCTACGCGGTAGGCTACGCCCAAAACTTTAGGCCCGAAGTCCAGAGCCCTGAACTCTAAACCCTAAGCTCTAAGACCTGAGCCCTGAGCCCTAAATCTGAAGCCCTGAATTCTTCAACCTGAATATAACACATTCCTGGGACGCGGAAACGGTGCCGCCCACGATCCTCAGCAAAAATATATGCGGCGCACTTCCGCTGATCATCTTCTGATCTTAGCATGTTAATATGCGGCGCACGTCTGCTGATCGCAACATCGCCTTCTCGAGCTGTTGTTTCCGCACACCCACAATCAAAACCCTTCACGATGGAACGCTGTGCCGCCCACGGTCTCCCACTGGAAAAGTACAATGCGGTGCGCGTATGTTGAGCTTAACACCGCCGTCTCAAGCCTTCAACCGTCACGATCCGATGCAAATAATACAAAAGAAAACAACGGAAAGCCCGCACACACACAGAGAAAACTGCGCAGCTCACGACACCCTGCAAAACAAAGAAAAACCTGCACACTTGATGATCTGAGCATCGCCTTTTGAAGCCTTCAACCTTCAAGATTATATATCTAAGCAATGTGTTCCGCACGCCCCCAATATAAACCCTGCGCGATGTAAATCGTCGTCGGCATCGTAGTCGTCGTCCCCAGACGTTCTGGAAGGTGCCCGAAGTTGCCGAAAATTCAACACTGCGTTGACCTGGTTGAGGGTAGAGCCATCGAGTGGAAGGGGCTGGGGGCGGGGAAAAATAATATGCACGAGCTCTCGTCGGCCCCACGCCTCACGCCCGAGGCCCTAGGCCCCTGGCACTAAGCGCCAGCCCAAATGACCTAAGCCCTGAACCGGGAGCCCCCCATCATTAAGCCCTGAGCCCTAAGCCCTAAGCACCAAGCTCTTACTCTTTAGCTCGAGGCTCCGAAACCCTCAGCCCTAAGCCCCCAGACCGAAGCCTTAAAATCTAAACCTTCAGCCCAAAACCCTCAGCCCCCTAAGCCCTGAGCCCCGGGCCAAGACTTCAGCCCCAAGCCCTCAGCTCGAAGATCAAAATCTGAAGCCTCAGCCCTAAGCCACCCACCCTAAGACCTGACCGCGAAGCTCGAAGCCCGAAGCTGCAGGATCTAAGCCCTGAGCCGCCAAACCCTAAACACTGAGCCATAAGCCCCATGCCCTAAGCTCTAAGCCCTAAACACTAGGCCCAAAATTATAAGCCTTAAGGTTCGAGCCCTGAGCCCTGAGCTGCGAGCCCTAATCGCTAGGCCCTAAGCCCTAAGCCCTTAGCCCTAAGCTCTAAGCTCTAAGCCCTAGGCCCTGAGCCCCGAGCTTAACCTCTGGGCCCTGGGCCCTCAGCCTCAAGCTTAACATCGAGCTTCTCTCGCCTCGCGCTCCTCATCCTCATCTCTCTGGCGCCTTCCCCCCGCTGCACTGTCTCTCTGCGGCGTCTCTCCACGTCGTCACTTGGTCAGAGCAGCGCGCGCGCATCTCTTCCAGGACAAAATTGTCGTCGCGACTGCCCCCATCGCACAGACGGCAGTCGCGGGGTGCCGTCTGAGAGCACATGTAGCACCACAGCGCGCCCGCGCAAGGGTGACGCGCACCTCGCCTCGGCGCGGCCAGCCCCCCCAGCGCTGGCGGCGCCGGCGGCGGGGGGGGCCGCGCAGCGACTGCACTTAGATCCGCAGCCGACCAAGTCCCCGCTGACGCGGCCGAGGACATCCCAATCGGGCCCCACTGTATTGGGTGTTCATTGAGCTTGCCATAGAGCTTGTCCCGTCTGGTTTCCCGGCCCTTCTTCGTCTGCGCGGCCATCTGCTTCGCCTTCCGAGCGTCGGCGATGACATTAGCCTCGGCGCGCGCCTCGATCAGCTGCGCCTCTTCCCGGGCGCGTCGGACTTCGGCGGCAGAGCGAGGGTGGCCCTCACTGACGGCGGCACGATCTGCCTCGGACTGCTCGACGGCGGCGGCTGCCTCTGCGGCCAGTCGCGCATTCCGCTCATCTGCTGCCTGGAGCTCCCGGGCCGCTTGCGACATAGTCGCGCGCTGGGCCCCATCAGCCCCCCGGACGACGCGCCTGGCCTCTTCTGCAAGGTGCTTCTCCGGATTTTACGCATGACGTTCGGACGCAGCAGCAGTTACCTCCAGCCTGTTGGCAAGCTCCCGCATCGCCGTAGTCGTCGAGGCCTGCTCGACCGCCACCGCCTGCTGGCGCCCTTCATGAAGTTTCATGGCGTTCATCATAGCTCACGGCCCCGCTACGGCTGGAGAGCAGCGGCAGAACGTTGCTCGCGCATCTCGGCTCTGTCTCTCTCTCTCTCTCTCTCTCTCTCTCTCTCTCTCTCTCTCTCTCTTTCTCTCTATATATATATACATAAAAAAAACTCTCTCTCTCTCTCTCTCTCTCTCTCTCTGGCCCCCATGATCTCGAGCCTCTTCTTCTCATCAGCCACACGCCACTCATTCGCATGCAAGCTTACACAATTGCGCGACGCCGGAGAGCGGCACGTCGGGCATAGGAAGTCCAGGTTGCACAGACCACAAGATCCGAGCACCCATGACATACCGGTTTCTTACATTGGCCTAGCGCACCAGGACATCGAGTCTCAGGAATCTCAACACATTGCGGCCCAAAATGAGCACACTTCGCGTCGATGCGCATGCTGAATGCACTCGACCGACCCGATAAAATTGAAAATTCGGACGCCTCCGACCGCGGCCTCGGGGCCCTCGGTCTACCCCTTTCCCAAACTCCTCTTACGGGGAGAGCGGGCCCGCGGGTCAGGCGCCTCAGGCGTTGCGTTCGAGCGTCGATAGCCAGGCCGAGCTGGACGCGGGGAAGACCCGGGTGCATAGCCACCGGGCCCTCCCCCCAGAGCGTACACGGGCCCGTCCTCGGGAATGCCGTGGGACCTCTTCCGCTTAGCGAGCGGTGATGTCACTGCGAGGCTGACCCTCTCGCGCCTCTGCCTGCAGGTGGCTCAGACTGGGCTGCCCACGGGCTGGTCCTCCACGATATCCTCGAGACCCCGTTCTAGCGAGTCATCGGAAGAAGCGCAGCCTCCTGGCCATCGGCGACGGGCACTTGCGTGGGAAGCGAGTCATCGGCCAGCGGGACAGGAGAACTGATGCCATAGGCCTCAGCCCCCCCACCCTGCAGCAGGCGGACGTTATCATAGGCAACCGGTCTCGGCGTCGATTTGCAGGAGAAATTCTCCTCCGACGACATGGATGCCACGTCCTGCTCGCAATCCGAAAGGTCAATGGACTCGTCTGGTTGTCCAGCGATATGAAAATATCCCAGCTGATCTTTGGATAAGGACATTGATTTTGCCCCCGGACATCGTCGGCAGAAGCAGACCCAGAAACGTCCATAGTTAAGCCGTGACATTTGTCCTCTCTCTGCCGGTCATCACCCACTGAAGGGAGAAACATCGTTTCCCCATCTGGTGACATCGATTTCGTCGTTGATGGAACTTTCGGCTGATAACCAATGTTTTGCCAGTTCTTCGTCGGGGGACGATCTTTCAGCCATGGCTTAGTATGGCGTTGTGCCGTTAAGGAATGGCTAAGACCGCGCAACTAGGGGGAGGGCTAGCCAGCCGGCGGGCGCGCGCGGCGGGCGGTCCGAACCACTTTTCGGCGACCTAAGCCAACACAGCTCCGGTAACTGACAGCAAATGAGGCTGAGGCAAGGCAAGGATATGACTAAATCGACTTCATCATCATCAGCAGCAGCAGCAGCAGCAGCATCATCATCATCATCATCATCATCATCATCATCATCATCATCATCATCATCATCATCATCATCATCATCATCATCATCATCATCATCATCATCATCATCATCATCATCATCATCATCATCATCATCATCATCATCATCATCATCATCATCATCATCATCATCAGCATCAGCAGCATCATCATCATCATCATCATCATCATCATCATCATCATCATCATCATCATCATCATCATCATCATCATCATCAATCATCATCAGCATCAGCAGCATCAGCATCATCATCATCATCATCATAATCAGCATCATCATCCTCGGCAGCAGCAGCAGCAAAAGCAGCAGCACCACAACCACAACCACCATCATAATCATCACAATTATCAGATCAGCGTCAGCATCAGCATCAGCATCATCATCATCATCAACATCATCATCATGGAAAAATCATTTTCAGAAGCAACAGCAGCAGTAGCAGCAGTATCATCAGCATAATCATCAGCATCAACATCAGCAGCATAATCATCAGCGTCTGCATCAGCATCATCATCAGCAGCATCAGCACCAGCATCATCGGAATCATCATTATCATCACCATCCTCACCATAATCAGCATCATTATCATCAGCATCATCATCAGCATCATCATCAGCATCATCATTAGCAGCATCGTCGTCATCATCATCCACATCATCGTCATCACATGAGCATCAGCATCAGCATCAACATCATCATCATGCCCATCATCAGTATCATCATCATCATCATCATCATCATCATCATCATCATCACCATCATCATCATCATCATCATCATCATCGTCAGCATCGTCAGCATCATCGTCATCATCCGCAGATCCATTATCATTTAGAACATCGTCAGTAGCATCATCTTCAACAGCAGCAGCATCGTCCTCTTCGACAGCAGCAGCAGCCACCTCCTCTTCCACGTCGACGTCGTCATCATCATCATCGTTGTCCACCACCAGCGTCCTGATCGCATTCCTCCTCCTCCTCAAACTCAGACTTCGACTTCTCGCTCCTCCTTGCCAGCTAGACTCAGCCGTAGAACAGTCCACGACCGCCAGTGGTGGTGAGAAAGGCTGCGTTGTTCATCAGTGTGTCCTGTGAACGAAAAGGGCGTAGTGAAAATAACGATGGCAGCAGATCAACGCCGACGAGTCCAAAAAATATAGAATCACGACAACATGTAACCTGGACCGTGCACAGACGCTATGTCCACGGCCAGTGCCAATGCAATGTGGTGCGACTTTGACATTGGAAGACCTGCCTGGAAAACCTGCCTGGAAGACCTGCCTCGGCGGAATGATGGGCATGCTCGATGCGATGCAAAAGTCATCCACTCCTCGAGGCGTTTTGTCGGGCTTCGTGTGCGCGCACGTTCTTTCTCAACGCGTTGAGATGGTCACTTTCAAGGGGAAGCGTCGGGCCGCGACACATGCTCATTTCAAGTGGGGTTCTCACGACTTCCCGCGGTTGCGCAAGGCCCCCCGACCGAACACCCGCGTGTATCACCCAACATCTGCACTGTGGAAAATCGACCACAGAAAACCACCTCAATTACTGGCGACCTCCGCCGTTCGACGACCTCTCGACGGTCACATCGAAGAATGAGCGTGTGCTTATGTGTACATACGCACGTGCGTGCGCGCGCTCGTGCGCGTTCCACGCTCTTGGTGCACCGACCCTGCTACCGTCCACTTCTGCGCTCTCCGGGACGTGCGGGAAGAATCGTACCACGTGCGCGCAGTCCTATCTAAATTCTCGACGTCGGCGCTGCTCGCAGAGGCGAGAGCGGGGAATGAAAGGGTTTCGAGGCCCTCTGGGGCCCAGATCTGGCCCCCATCGGCGCGCCCCCCCAGCCGACAACGGCAGCCGTTTTCCGATTTCGATCGACCGAAATTTCAGCTGGTGCCCATGTCTTCCAGCAGCGCGACTTGCGGTGGCTGTCGAGCTCTGCCTGACGAATCAATCAGTCGTGGCCGCGGAGCGGGTGCCGCGAGGCCATCTGGGCTGGAGCCACTCTGGCTGGCCTCCGCCACCGCCCGCCTCTGGCCACCGCTCGCGCGGGCCGATCCGCCCCGGGCTTGCCCGGGCGAACCTGCCGACATGGCCCAACAGGGGGCCGCCGCAGCCCGAAAGTGCGCCGGGCCTCCCCACAGGGCTCCGTGGCCGGCGCTCTGGCGGCCAGCCCGAAGCGCACGGCATGCCTGCCCCTAGCTGCACGTCCCTCGGCGGCGCGCCCAGGGGGGAAGGCAGAAGGGGGCGGGCCGCCTCGGGAGGCTCGGGGGGCGCCTTCCCTTCTGAAAAGTTGTTCTGAGGCTCCTCCGTCCTCCTCCTCCGCCTCCTCCTCCTCCTCCTCCTCCTCCTCCTCCTCCTCCTCCTCCTCCTCCAGGCGGGTGGGCTTCCGAGAACCCCCGCCGTCTCCCGAAAAGGCCCGCCCTCGCTCGCCTTCCCCCCATCGGCGCGCCGCCGATGCCTGCCGCCTGCTCCTCTGGCCCCCGCGCGGCGAGGGGAGGCAGCTCCACGAGGCCTGCGGCCGAGAAGCGGAGGAGTTCAGCCGCGGGCCCCGCGCTGGACTGGGCAGCAGCCCCGAGAGGGCGCAGGGCGGCATCAGACCCACCCCCGCTCGAGGACTCCAGCGGGGAACGATCGCAGAGGCCTCGGAGGCAGCCTCCCAGAAGCGCGCCTGGGCAACCACACGTGTGAATCCTACCCCAGTCGGTGGGAATTCTGAAAACGCGGCTGGGGGTCAGAATCTGAACGATGTCTGCTGCCAAGTGAAGCCCAGCGGGGGTGTCCGATACCCTAGCGTCGATTGGACCCGCAGGGGTAGGGTTCGCAAGTGGCCGCAGAGCGCCGAGCACGTACTTCGAAGCCTGCCCGTGGGAAGCGCAGGGCCCCTGGGGTCCTCGAGGCCCAGACGCCCGCTTCCCTTCCTGCGCTTGGGGGGGGGCTTCTGCTCGCCACTGGCTGCCGCCTTGGGGTCGGCTTTCGTGGCGAGAGATGGGGGGCACGCTCTCCACGGAGAGGGGGGCTCGGATGTGCGCGAATGGAACTGTTGTGCGGGCGCCTGGCCGTCCAGCCGAGGTGGTTCCCTAATCAGCTTGACTGCAGTGGGCCTGCCTGGTTCTTCGAGGGCACCGAATACGGGGGTCGCTGGATCTGGCATCGGTCGGGCGCCTTGGTCGCACGTGGTTTTCTGTGGCCTCCCGCGGCCTCTCATCGACTTGGCATCGTTAGCGCTAGTAGAAGCAATACGATCAGCACTAGGAGTATAATTCGTAGCATGACTCGTCGCACTCGCAGTCGCACTCAAATCAATAGTACTGGGAGCAATAATAGTAGTAGCAGCAGTAGTAATAATAAAACTGAAAACCATAGTCGTAGAAGTAATTGTATAGTAGTAGTAGTAGTAGTAGTAGTAGTAGTAGTAGTAGTAGTAGTAGTAGTAGTAGTAATAGTAGTAGTAGTAGTAATAGTAGTAGTAGGAGTAGTAGTAGGAGTAGTAGGAGTAGTAGGAGTAGTAGGAGTAGTAATAGTAGTAGTAGTAGTAGTAGTAGTCGTAGTAGTAGTAGTAGTAGTAGTAGTAGTAGTAGTAGTAGTAGTAGTAGTACTGGTGGTGGTAGTAGTAGTAGTAATAATAATAGTAATAGTAGTAATAAGAGTAATAGTAGAAATACTAGTAGTAATACTAGTAGTAATACTAGTAGTAGTAGTAGTAGTAGTAGTAGTAGTAGTAGTAGTAGTAGTAGTAGTAGTAGTAGTAGTAGTGGTGCTAATAGTACAAATAGCGTAGTAGAAGTAGTAGTCGTCGTCGTCGTCGCAGTAGTAGTAGTAGTAATAAGACTAACTGTAGTAGTGATGATAATAGTAGTAGTAGTTGTAGTCGTAGTAGAAGTAGTAGTAGCCGTCGTCGTCGTCGTCGTCGCAGCAGCAGCAGTAGTAGTAGTAGTAGTAGCAGCAGTAATAGTAGTAGTAGCAGTAGTAGTAGCAGCAGCAGCAGTAGTAGTAGTAGCAGCAGCAGTAGTAGTAGTAGTCGTAGTCCTAATCGTAGTGGTAGTAAGTAGCAAGTAGTAAGTAGCAAGTAGTAAGTAGTGAGTAGTAAGTAGTAAGTAGTAAGTCGTAAGTGGTAAATAATATGTAGTAAGTAGTGAGTAGTAAGTAGTAAGTAGTAAGTAGTAAGTAGTAAGTAGTAAGTAGTAAGTAGTAGTAGTAGTAGTAGTAGTAGTGGTAGTAGTAGTGGTAGTAGTAGTAATAGTAGCAGTAGTAGTAGTAGTGGTGATAACAGCAGCAAGAACAGCAGCAGCAGAAGCAGCAGCATCAGTAGTGGTAGTACCAGTAGCAGGAAGAGTAGTAGTAGTAGTACTAGTAGCAGCAGTCGTCGCGTAGTCGTAGTCGTAGTAGAAGTAATAGCAGTGGTAATACTAGTAGCAGTCGCAGTAATAATAATGGGTGTAGCAGAAGTAAGAGTAGAAGAAGTAGTAGTAGTCGTAGCATTACTAGTAGCGGTAGCAATAATAATACCAATAGAAAATTATAGTACAAAGGCAACAGCAGCAGCAACAGCAGCAGCAAGAGCAGTAGTAGTAGTAGTAGTAGTAGTAGTAATCGTAGTAGTAGTAGTAGTAGTAGTAGTAGTAGTAGTAGTAGTAGTAGTAGTAGTAGTAGAAGTAGTAGTAGTAGTAGTAGTAGTAGTAGTAGTAGTAGTAGTATGAGTAGTATTGGTAGTATTAATAGTAGTAATGATAGTAGTAGTAGTACTACTACTACTACTACTACTACTAGTAGTAGTAGGGGTAGTAGTAGCGATAGTGGTAGCAGTAGTGGTGGTGGTGGTGGTGGTATTAGTAGTGGTCATGGTGGTAGTGGTTGTAGAAGTAGTAGTAGTAGTAGTAGTAGTAGTAGTAGTAGGAGGAGGAGGAGGAGGAGGAGGAGGAGTAGTAGTCGTAGTAGTAGTAGTACTAAATGATAAGAACACTAAGTATCAGTATATAAATACATGATAACACAGACTAATGGTAGTAGTAGTAGGAGCAATAATAACAGTCGTTGTAATGATAGTAGGACTAGTATAAAAACGATAGTCGTCGTCGTAATAGTAGTAGTAGGAGCAGTAGGTGGTGATAGGAGTAGTGGTAGTAGTAGCTGTCGTGGTAGTAGTTGTAGTCGTCGTCGCATTCGCATTCGTATTCGTATTCGTGTCGTGGTCTCCCATATGGTCTCCAATATGGTCTGTCGACTGGTCTGCCGTATGGTATCCCGTACGGTCCCCCGTATGGTCTCCAATACGGTCTGCAGTAGGGCCTCCTGTGCGGTCTCCCGTGCGGTCTCTGGTCTGGTCTGCCGTATGGTCTCCAGTGTGATCTCTGGTGAGGTCTCCCGCGTGGCTTTCCGTATAGCCTTCCATATGCCGTATTGCTTCCCTCATGGTCTCCCGTATGATCTCCCGTCCCGTCTGGCCTCCAGTATGACCTCCCGTGTGGTCTGATGTATGGTCTCCCGTCGAACCTCCTGTATGGTCTGCCATATGGTCTTCCGTATGGTCTCCCGTATGGTCTCGAGTATGGTCTCCCGCATGGCATCCCGTATGGCCTCCCGTATGGTATCACGAATGGCCTCCCGCATGGCATCCCGTATGGCCTCCCGTATGGTATCCCGAATGGCCTCCCGTATGATCTCTCGTATGTCTCCCACATGGTCTCCCGTATGGTCTCCCGTACGCACAGTACAGTATAACGCACTCCTGAATCATGCTGCTTCGGATCTTCTGCCGTCAGGGTGCAACAAATGTGTAAATGCCCCGCCAGACACCACTCTACCAGGAGGTCCCGGGGTCCAGGAAAAGTCCGGTGAACCCTTGGGAACGTCTAGAGCATGCTCGGTGTCATCTGGTACGCTCTTGGAGCCTTCGGGGCACCTCTCCGGGTCTTCCTGGGCTGCCGGAAAGAAACTGATTCGGAGCATGGTGGGGCTACGCTGGGGCCGCCCTGGGAGACTCGAAGCGTTCCTGGAGCCAGCACGTCTCCGAGCCGTTCTTGGAGGGGCGCCGCGGGAAACCGAAATCATCAGATCGCGATTACTGGCTTGGGCACGCCTCTAAACAAATCCGACTTACCAGCTTAGTTGCCTCGATACGCCCGCTTTGATACGCAGAACGTCCCGTGTTCAAGACGCCCGTGTCAATACGCTGCGTGTTGCTCCACATATTGGACCACGTTTTGGCGAGTGTATCGCGTCGGACCTACGTTTTCAACCTACGTGTTGAGCTCCGTATCAATACGCTACGTGTTGCGTGTTGCGTATCGGGGCAGCTAAGCTTACCAGTCATCTGCGGCAGCTGTAGCGGCAGTAATGACAGGTGCTCGGATGACTGTTATGTGTGCCCATCGATGTGGACCAGGGCTGGGGGGGCCTAGCTTGATGATCCCCGCTGATGCAGTGGTACCATCATTTCTGGGGCTTTCTGTCCACGGTGCCTCCGTGAAGGCAACAGTTCCAGGGCCCCACGGGACATCATCCTGTGACCCCTTCGTGGCACGAATTCTGGGGCTCCTAGGGTTCCTGGTCCGGTGCTCCTGATGGCAGAAGTTACACTGTCCCCAGGGTTTACACTCCCCTGTGACCCTGCGGTGGTACTCTGTGCCATGTCCAGAGTGCCCAGTCCGAAGTGCAGAGGTTGCACCAATTCTGCGGCCACCAAGTTCGATGCTTATGAGGTTGCCCGTGGCATCAATCCCCAGGCATCCAGAATTCCTGGCCCTATGGCCACGTGCTCCCGTGGCGTGCACCACTTCCGCGGTCCCCAGGCTTCCCAGTCCTCATTCCTCCTGCGGTGGCGCCGATTCCGCTGGCCCTGGGTTTGCTAGTCCACCACTCCTACGGTGGCAAGGGCCCCACGGCGTCCTGAGGTCCCCCAAAGACTACCCCAAGTCGGCCCAAGACTGGCCCAAGACGCCCAAGATGGACTCAGGACGACCTTCCCAGACAGCCTCAAGAGACACTCCATAGGCCTCGAAACGCCTTCTGATTGGCCCCCTGACAGGGAGTGCAAAACGATGTAACGCCACGACTGCGCCATGTTACAGCATGGCTACGCAGCTTCCCTAAGCGCGTTGGCGGATAAGCACGGCAGCGCAATTGCATGTATGGGTGCGTACATGGTAGCGTCGTCAACAGCCGTACACTCACTTCTTCTTCTCCAGCGCCGGGATCTTCGTTGCCATGACGGTATCCACAGCCTTGTCTCTGGTCGAGTCGAACTCTTCGATGCTCTTAGACACGGCCTCGGCGCTGGTCACCTTGCTGCCAGCCTCTACGGCGACCAGGGCGCCCTCGTCGAGCTGTGACTGGAGCTTGCCGACGTCCACCAGCTTGGCCAGCTGCTCCTGCTCGAGCTTGGAGCTTGCCACAAACTCCTCGCTGATGCCGTAGAGAACGTTGCTGTACTCCGCGCACTCGAGGCCGTACAGACGCTCGATATCTGGCATCATCTTCATGGCCTCGTCCATGCTGAGGGCCGTGGCTCCCGCCCAGCGCTCCTTGTGTTCCTCGACATACGCCTGGTAGATGTCATAGGCTGGGTCGGACGTCTTCAAGCGGCGCATGAAAGCCTCGCTCGAGGACTCGCCCGGCGCCGAGAACCAGCGGCCGCCCAGGCCCTCCTTCCGGCTCTCCAGGACGTCCGAGAAGGCCTCGAGTGCCGCCGCGTAGCCTGCCTCGAAGCGGCGTCCCGTCATCGTGACGTGGTCAGCCAGGGCGAAGAAGCACTCCTTCGGGTCAGGCATGTCGAGTGCGCCGCCAGAAGGTTTGTAGAAGAGGCAGTTGACATCGCTGCCTAGCGAGTAGAATGTGCCCTTGGCACCGTCGGCCTGGATGGCCTTGTAGAACGCCTGGCCAGTCTGGACTGGCACATACCCATCGCTGAATAGCACGTAGTTGCCCATCAGGCGACCCATCGCCAGTTCCGTCACCGCCGACTCCCTCGCGATCAGTTTCGAGAAGTATGCTTCGCCGTCATGCTCCAGGTCATGCGGGTGGAAGTCGTGGTACACCTCGCGCGCCAGCGTCGCCTCGTGAACCTGACGCTTCCTCCTCTGCAGAACACTGTAAATCTTGAAGCGAATGTCGTAGATCTCCGCGAACCATTGGACTGGCATGTTTTCTGGGAACATCCTAGCATCCCCACCAGTTTTCGTGAGATAAAAAATCATGTGCTCAATGAGAGGCCCACGGAAAACATCGTAGTACTCGAAGGAGGGCCTCTGGTACAGCAACTTGTTATTTTGGCGCGTGGTGCCTCGGCCATCGAATGTCTCCCAGCGCTTCTTGAGATCTGCTTTCTGCTTTGCGTCGTACTCCTTGCTCTCAGGGTCCTCCACGGCACTAGCGAGGTGGTTATGGTAGTAGTGGTGTTTCTCCACAAACGCTTGCCAATACTGGTCGGCATCGAGCCACTCCGACTGTGAGAGCAAAGAGATGGGCGGATTCTGAAACGAGATCCAGAGCGCCCGTGCGCCATTCTTTAGAATGTCCTCCGACTTTTCCACTGACTTCTGGCAGCTGGAAACGGCTTGGTCAAAGAGTTCCCATCCGGCAGTTTGGCCCTTGGCGGCAGCGAGGTGGTCCTCTTTGGCGAGACTGTCGAGAAGGGATGTCTGCTGGGTGTGGAAGTCCTTCAAGCACGCCAACACTTCCTTGTTGCTGATGCGAGCCTCCCACGACGCCCAATCGATCGCCTTGGCAGCAGACCCCTGGTGCCCAGCGATGACATTAGACACGGCCGTATCCTTTGCGCGCAGCAGCCGGAACTCCTCTTGGTTCGCCTCGCCGACGGCATACTCCTGAAGATGGTGCCAGTTGTCGCGCCTCGGAAGCACGCGGCGGATCCCCCGGCGCAGCATCTAGCAGACGCGACAGAGGTGTCACCCTCCTGCAGCCTGTGGCAGTCCTCTGTGAAGACACTGGGAGGCTGCCTGCTCGAGCCCGAATGGCCATTGAGCGCAAGCAACTGCCAACATACTTACAGCCTGCTTTTTTCTTCGTGGCATTGCATACAGACACACACAAACACACAAACTGTTACGCGTCGCGGCCTCGCGCGAGGAAGCGCGGCGAAGCTGGGCTAAGGTCGACGGAGGCGCGTGGACCAGGCCAGGTCACGCAGCAAGGGCATGCCTGGCCCACCCATAGCGGACACACACTTTTTGCGCCGGCGGCTAGCCAGAGTGACTGTGCTGGCGGATAGGGCATGCGGACACACACACACACACATGATGTCTAAGCATGAGACGCCTTACGCGCGACACCGTACTCATCTTCCCGTGCCGCTCGTCATCATACTTCCTACCCTTCACGTCATACCGCTTCACCGTTCATCGTCGTCCCATCCCATCGAATCATTGAATACTGCATGGCTCCGTGACGCGATGATTCAATTCACCCCTTCATTGCCACTGTACCATTCCAACGCTCGCTCATAGATTGCATCACCTAAGACGCACCACCCTGCCGCCATTCCTTGCACTGACTACGCCTTAAAGTCACAGATTCCGTCACCACAGAATCCATAACTGTATTACGCCGCGATGCCCACATCATCGCGCCGATGCGCATTGGATTTCGTCTCGACACCTACTAGAAGGATTCTGCACACTGCGCGGAATCAAGGGTGCTCGACTTCTGTCAAGCGAGTGACGCCGGCGAACGCGGGAAACGCGAGGATGCCCACCCCCTCCGAGGCAACAGATCAGGCCGAAACCGGCAAACCCCGTAAAACGCCGACTCCAGCAGCCCAAGGAGCACGGAGATGGGCGATCATGTCCGCCAGCGCCCATTGCGGCTGAATAAAATGATTTGCTATCTGTCGGGCAGAGCTTGCGTATGGCCTGCACGATCTCGACTCCATCCCTCCCCCCTCCCCTCTCCTCTCCTTCGCTTCCCCGTTCCTTCCCCCCTCCCTCCCTCATCCCACGCTCCCCCCCCTTCCAGCCCTCTCAGTCAGCCCCACCGCCGCCCCGCCCTCCCCTCCCGTCCGTAGGCGAAATGAGGTTTTTCCAGACCCCTGCAACAGGAGGTGAGCTGTCACCGAGCATTCCCTGAGAGGGAGGTGCCGCTACAGGGGCCGTGCCCACGGCCTCACTCAGCGTCGACCCATCCCACCAACCAACCAACCAACAAACCAACCAACCAACCGACCGACCGACCGACCAACCAACGTACCCAGACCCTTGTGTTCCCAGTCCTTTCCAGAACGCTACCCTGTCCTTTAATGCTCTCCCCTCTCTGCTCCTCCTCCTCCTGCTTCAATCACAGCGGTCCTGGTAAGAACTCACGGGAAGCTTGATGGTGTCCTGGCACCAGCAGCGCGACTCACGGAGAGCGAAAAGAGAGATATACACATTTATGTAACATGTATAAGTACATGCATACATACATACATACATACATACATACATACATGCATGCATGCATGCATGCATACATACATACATGCATACATACATACATAACACCTAAATACACACATACAAACATGCATACCTACATGCATACATACATACATACATACATACATACATACATACATACATACATTACATTACAATACATCACATCACAACACATCACATTACATTGCATTACATTACATGCATACATTTGTGCATACATACATACATGCATGCATGCGTGCATGTTTACATATATATACATACATACATACATAAATACCTACATACATACATACATACATACACATACTTGCATGCATACATACATACATGCATGCGTGCATGCATGTATTCATACATGCATGCCTGCATGCATACATATATATATATGTATATACATACATGCTTATACATATGTATATATATATATATATGTATATATAAGCATGAGTACATAAAGTCATGCATATGTGTGTGCATACTTCTGTGTAAATCTATATATGAATGTGTATATGCATGCATGCGTCAAGCATGCATGCAAGCATGCATGCATGCATACATACATATATAAATGCATGCATACATATGTACATACATACATGCATATATATATATATACATAAATGCATACACACATGATTACCCGCCTACCATTCATGCACACATATAGACGTATACGTGCATACCGACACACAAACGTAACTAGTTATGCATGCATACAAACATACGTGCATGCATGCATACATACATGCATGCATACCTGCATGCACACATACAGAAATACATACAGACAGACAGACAGACAGACAGACATGCATACGTACATGCAGGTAGACAGACAGACATACATACATGCATACATGCATGCATACAAATATGCACACATAAATACATACACACTGTATACATGCAGACTGCATATATATATATATACACAAACACAGATGTACACAAACATATGTACATATATACACAGATGGCGGAGTCCAGAAACCCTGAACACAAAATTGCTGTCATTTCTTGAGGACGTATTTTGTACGACCGCCAGCCATATTCCGTCGCCTTCCGGCTTCCTTCAGCCGGCCTTCCGCCGCCCTTCCACCGCCCTTCCGCCGCATTCCGCCGAGGAGGAAGACATGACAACTCCTTCGATCCTCGAAGACAAAGCCCTTTTTGGAACGCCTCAAATGCAGAACTCACATGTCAAGAGGGGTGGGGAAGAAGACAGAGACGGAGGGAGAGAGGGAAGGATATGAGATTACGTAAAAAAAGAAAAGCGTACGTAGTGGTGGCGAAATGCTTGATGCCAGGAAGTCCAGGATTCACGAACGCCCACAACACGGTGTGGTCGGGAACCAATGCGGACTGGATTATGGCTTCTGAAACAGTCCCTTGCCAACGCGGGCACTTGCTGCACACAAAGAAGAAGTCCCCTTTGCAAACAAAAGAACCAAAAAACAGCACAGCCCTATATTTTCTGAGGTCCGCGCGGACTCCTTGGATCCCCCCACCATCCCTGACGCGCGGAACGCGCCACGAAGAGCACGCCAGGGAGGCCAAACGCCGGACCAAAAAGCTCCGCGCGGACCTCCTCGAAATCATGTCTGCTTTTGCCCCCCCCAGGAAAAGCGCAAGCGGATTCACAGACCAACCTTGCTGCCTACGATGTCGCATGACACCCCGCCGTTGAGGCGTCGCACCGCCTGCCCGCAGGGGGGGCAGCCTGAGGTGTTCGGCGGTCCTCGGCCACCGCTCTCGCAGGGGCACCCACGCGTGAGCACGGGCGAGCTGCACACCGCGCTCGCAGCGACAGGAGGAACGAAGCCTGCACAGGGACAAGATCAGACCGGGGTACTCTGAGATCCGGCGGCACTGAAGGGTGTAGATAGGAAGCCCACAAAGGACGTACGCGCCAAGCTATGTACATGAACACGGCCCCTCGATCCGCGAGACTGGCCGCGTGAAACGAACATTTGCGCAATGCGTACTCTCAAAACCAGCGTAGATTCATGTACGTGTACGTCCTTTTTTCGCTCCTGAGTAGAATCGGGGATGGACAGACCCCCCTTTAGCAAAACGTGGTTTAGTGAAACCGACCTGAGGCCCAAACCTGGCGGGCGCAAGCCTGGAAAATAGCGGCCACGGCGCCCTCTCGAGAGCCGACAACGGACAATTCACCAATCGACGTGTCACTGTTGGGGGTTCTGTCCACCCCCGATATAAGGCGCCGCGGCCGTTCCAGAGCGCTCCGGACCGCTCCGAGAGCGTTCTGGGGCGCTCTGAAGCAGTTTTTCCCTGTCCTAGACTCCCCCAGACATGTTCCAGAAAGCTGGGCAGCGCGATGGGAGCAACGAGCTCACGGGCGCGTGTCCACCTGAGGTGGAGAAATCCGCCGGCCCCCTTGTGGGGCCACCAGGCTGTAGAACGAAGGTTCGCAGTTTCCTGCACCAGTTGCAGCTTCCAGTTTCCACTGCTACAGTTCTGCATCCTGCTGCTTACTGTTCCTCGTTGACTTCTTGCTGCTTACTGTTCCTTGTTGATGGACCGCGAGAGGGGGGGAGGCCCGAAACGGACATTTTTACCAAGCCCTGAGCGTGTGCTCTGAATTGCTGGGGTAGGTAAAAATTGACACCCCTCACGCAGATCGGCGGAGTCAGGGTCCAAAAACACAATGGATTTGCCACATTTCGCAAATTTGCTGGCACCCCTTACGCAGATCCGTAGGGTCAGGGTCCAAAAACACAAGGGATTTGCCACATTTCTGAAATTCGGTGGCACGCACCCCTCACGCAGATCGGCGGGGTCATGGTCAAAAACACATGGGATTTTCCACATTTCTAAAATTCGCTGGCACCCCTCACGCAGATCGGCAGGGTCAGGGTCCAACATGATCGACCCACGAACCCGGAAAGGAATATAGAAATGTAAGGCATTGCAACATTTCAAAGACACCTGATTGGGCGACGGGCACATGCAATGCTGAATGTATCGATGATGATGTACTGTGCCGAGGGCTGTGCTGTGCTACGCCGTGCTGAACTGCGATGTGCCATGCCGCGATTGTGCTCTATATAGCGTTGTGGATCGAGTCCTCCCTGGCATCCGAGTCCTCACCGAACTGATCTGGAGCGTAAGCTCGAGCTGCCTGAGCAGATGGTAGCTGCCCCAGAACTAATCGACAGAGGGAACATGCCAGGAGGACGCGCCGCGGAACGTCCCAAGGGACGCGCCAGGCGACGTGCCAGGGGACGTGCCATGGGCACGCACCGCGGGACGTGCCAAGGGGACGCGCTACGGAACGTGCCAATGGACGTGCCGAGGGACGTGCCAGGGGACGCGCCGCGCGACGTGCCAGGTGGACTCGCCACGGAACGCGCCAAGGAACGTGCCAAGGTGCATAGTTGAGTGTATCGATCTTGATGTACCGTGCCGACGGCTGTGCTGTGCTGGGCCGTGCTGAACTGCGATGTGCCATGCCGCGAGTGTGCTCTATATAGCGTTGTGGATCGAGTCCTCCCTGGCATCCGAGTCCTCACCGAACTGATCTGGATCGTAAGCTCGAGCTGCCTGAGCAGATGGGAGCTGCCCCAGAACTAATCGATCGACAGAGGGAACATGCCAAGAGGACGCGCCGCGGAACGTCCCAAGGGACGCGCCAGGCGACGTGCCAGGGGACGTGCCATGGGCACGCACCGCGGGACGTGCCAAGGGGACGTGCTACGGAACGTGCCAATGGACGTGCACCGCGCGACGTGCCAGGGGAACTCGCCACGGGACGCTCCGCGGAACGTGCCAGGCAACATGCCGGGCTGCAATGCTAAGGGTATCGATGTTGATGTACCGTGCCGAGGGCTATGCTGTGCCTGGGCGACCTGGACACGTGAAAACACGCATTTCGCTCAAGACGTTGTCAGCACATCCTCATGCTAGACATCCGCCTGGGCAACCTGGACACGTGCAAACAAGCGTCTCGCTCGAGACATCCTCAACAATTGCTCATGCTAGACATCCGCCTGGGCGACCTGAACACGTGAAAACAAGCCTCTGGTTCGAGACATCCTCAACAAATCCTCATGCTAGACATCTGTCTAGGCCACCTGGAGGCGTGAAACCAAGCGTCTCGCTCGAGACATCCTCAAGACCTGGGCACGTGAAAACAAGAGATCCTCTGAATTCTGGTCCCCAGGAGAGCACAATCTATAACACAAAACAAGCGTTTCGCTGGAGACATCCTCAATAATTTTTGAAAAACAAGCGTTTTGCTAGGGACATCCTCAAAGTTTAATTCGCCGGCCCTCTTCCCACTCGTTATTTATCGCAAAAGAAATCCGCCGGCCGTCTTCCCGTCAGATCCAGGGGTAAACCTACTAAAAGAGAAAACCCTGGGCCTGCGCCCTTTCCGGGAAAAACACATGGGATTTGCCACATTGCTGAAATTCGGCGGCACCCCTTACGCAGATCCGTAGGGTCAGGGTCCAAAAACACAAGGGATTTGCCACATTTCTGAAATTCGGTGGCACCCGCGACGCAGATCCGTAGGGTCAGGGTCGAAAAACAAACAGGTCCTGACACTGCTTCACGGCGGCGCCCAGACCTCATGATTTAGCTCTTGCATCTCCCAGTATCCGAGACAGGGGGCCGTTGGCATGGGGCGAACCCTTACGGATTTTTTAAACAAAACAATTACATAGAAATAAAGACTTGCCGCACCCTGCCTGGCAGTTCTGGTGTTCCGAGCATTATGTCTGCGACGATTCGTGAACGCCAGAGCTCAGACATTATGAAAACGTGTCCCACACGAGATGGCGCCACTGTTTTAAATCAGCGGGCACAAAAGTGCGAATGCGGTCAGGCGCCCGTCGGGCTAAAGGCGGGGCGCGCCGAAAGTCAATTGGAGCAGGACGGAAAGGGAGGAGCAAAGCAAGGGGAAGGACAGAGCCGCTCAGACCGTGTAGACCTGAACGGGCGTGCCTGCGGAGAGGGCGTAGCAAGCAGCGGGTGGCCAGGGGCAGGCTTCTAGAGAGGGCAGTCCTCGAGAATGTACATGAACAATGAAGTGGCAGGCCCAGGTAAACTTGAACGAATAGGGTTGCGTCACAGCGAAGAGCGAAACCGCGGACCGTGAAGGGGAGGCCCTTGAACGGGTAGACATTGCGTCACACACGAAGCTCCCGAGGCACGCGGAAACCAACACCACCACTAGCGTGCTAGACAAAGTACTTCGGGATCAGAACTGCTTACTCGCACGTGTCGGGATGTCCAAACCATGAATGCGATCCCCTGTCGAATGGACCGTTGAAACATGTAGGCCGGCTGGCCGAAAACAACGTTCAAGCGTCGGAAGGTCGACATTGAAAATCTGGCCTCGGCGAAAACACAACTGCCTGGCGGCCACATGGAAAATCACGTTGAGAGTCTGCCGATGGCACACGGTAAACATGAAACGCTTCGGATGGCAGGATTCTAGGCCACACTGTCGCGACAGCATGTAGCGAGCACACTGGGAAGGGAATTGGTTCAGTGTTGACAGGACGGGTCACAGGCACAGCAAAAGGCACAACGCCCAAACAGCTTGCCGAAGGATCTGGATGGAATTTCGCCCTGTGAAGACCAGCCTGAGGCTCGCGGGCCCCGCAGTGCGCCCACAAGAGCCAAGATTAACAGACGAAAACACGGTATGAACATAAACTGTTGGCGTTCCTCGGAGTTCATTGGATCCGCGCTGGCCCCCCCCCTCCCTGGCGCGCGGAACGCGCAAGGGGCGGCGCCAGAGGCACCGCCAGGGGGTCCCCCTCAGATCCAAAAGATCCGCGCGGACCGTCGAAAGTTTATGTTCGTGCCGATTTCGTTTGTCGAAAAACCCCGCACGAACGCCCCGCTGGCAGCTTCGCGGCCACCGCCCTCGCTGCCTTGCCCCTGCCCCTCGCCCTGCCGCCCGCGGACAGGGCGGCCGCGAACAGGCCAGGCCCCGCGGCTCCGTGGGGGCGCCCGCTGTTGCGGCAGCGGGCCTTTCTGCCACCCACCCGGAGGAGTTTTTTTCTTGGGCCAGGCATGAGCTGCGCGCCCCTCCCTCGGCCAATCTCGGCCCCGAGGGGGAGGAGGAGGAGGAGGAGGAGGAGCAGCAGGAGGAAGAGGAGGAGGAGGAGGAGGAGGAGTCCACGTACCCTGGGGGGACGAGACATGCAGCACCGCTATGCTTGATTGGATTGTGGGGGGACGCTCAGCCTGTCACCTGCAAAGATGTCCGCAAGGCGCCAAGGTCGAGACGAAACGTTCGATATCGAGATATCGTCGGCGGCTTGGCACGCGAGCAACGCTGAGCGCCCGGCCTGGATTGTAATGCTATACTGGCCGAACAGCTGTGGTTGACACGCTAATGCAGCACCCTATGTATGGAAGATATGAAAAGCGAGGCAAGTAAGTAACACAGCTCTCTCACGCGAAATCTCAGAGTGAGCATATTCCTCGGGAGTGCCGAGGCCGAGACGGACTATAGCGCTGTCGGGGAGAAAGACACGACCAGGGAAAGCAAGGAGGTGGAGAAGACGGGGATCGACGCATCCGAATCGACACGGCATCTGCGCAATGCTCGCATCCGAATCGACACGGCAATGGCGTGAGGAAATGAATTCTGTGCGTGGTGATCCACGCTCCAGCGACCGTTTTCAGAAAAGCCCAAACTCGCATCGGGGGGCGCAGCCTTTAAAAAGGGTTCTAAGTACCCCATCGCCGCCTCATCTCCTCAACGCAGGGCACATCGTCGGGGGGAGGAGCCACGAGGAGAGGCGACGGTGGAGAAGGAGATGAAGGGAGTCGGGGTAAAGGCGAGCGGACAGGGCAGAGGAGAAACGAGATTGGAGGCTCTTACCACTTCCCCGACGCAGGAGACCCCTCTCCTCGGAGCGATGTGGAGTGGGCGAGTCCTCGACCAGCGCTGCAGCCGCTGCCACCGCGAGGTCTCGCGCGGGAAGCAGGTGGTTTCGCGGGCGGTCAGCCGCGCGCGGGTGCCAGCGTCCGCCACACACTCCAAGCTGCTGGGCTACGCTACGCTGCAAGGACCAGCACGGGGCAGCCCATTCTCCCTTGCACCAATCTACAACCGACCCGTGCTCGAGAATGGCATGCTCGCGTCGCTCCACCCAAGGCCCCCACCACCCTTCCAACGCCTTGGTCGCCGTTCTCCAGCCGGCTGCTACAGTCGACACTAAAACTGATTCTGGCGCTCCTGACGGGATCCATGCGCCACTAGAAATTAGTTCGGCGAGTGAACGAGTTGGGAGAAATGCTGAGAATTTTGTGCAGAGCCCACCGCTCTGTATTCAGGATGAAGGGAGAGATGGGAAAAAATGGGGCGAGGCGCGAGAGCATGCTGATGGCACGTACATTGTACAGAGTGATGAATGCTGCCGTTGGAGCTCTACTCTCACCCGTCCCTCCCGCTCGACTCCGCCACTTCTGCCCAGCGGCGTTCCATTCATCTTTCAGGGTCGCGCCTGGTCCAAGCAAAACTCCTAAATATCTCGTGGCGGACTCAATTGCAAAATATTTCCATGGAGTGGCAGATGCTTGGAGAAAGGTCCAAATGCCGTTGACGACTGAGTCGCTCGGCTCGCTCCAAAGGGGCACAAGGCAACATGTCTTCGGTTGGGGAAGGAGGCCAGCAAGGGCAGCAGCAGCCTCAAAGGGCGGGAGGAGCGAGGGGAGGAGACGAATGTCGCCTAGCACCGCTCCTACATCATCAGCGCAGGCGCCGAGGTCCTCCTTCGAGCCCCCCGCAGAGTCGATGGACGAAACTAGCGCTCGAAATATGGGGCCCATGCCGAGGGCCCAGAGAGTGCCCGAGAGGGGGAAGCCTTGAGGCACACCTGAGGAGAAAGCGAAAAGCTCTCGGAGCTCCGATCCCACCCTGAGAAAACCAACAGACCCGCAAATTAAAACGCGAATGGCGTGGGTATAAGGGGTGGGGATCTGGAATCGCAAGAGAGATTTACCTAGCCAGATCTGACTCATGCTTGGAGAAGCTGCCTTGACGTCGAAGCTAACGAAGACTGGCATGCGTTGTTCAGTATGTGTTCCTAGACTGGCTATTCTACACAGCGCATCGAGTCTGACTAATGTCTGGCAAAATTTCGGCCATTGACAAAGCCTCGCTGCACAGTGCGCGCGTGAGCTTCCGCTACTCGCTTCAGGCATCGGCCGCGGCAGTGGCCATCGCCTTAGCACCACAATTTGTCAAACTTAATGGGCGCAATTGCCCCGGCTGCCTCGCGCAGCCTACGGGGTCGAGCTCCTCTTCGCCTTAGTAGGGACGGAGGCAAAGATGCTACGATTCAAGTTCGGGGGGGCACCGTGGAAAGGAGAAGACAGAAGGGCATGGAGGACGAGAACAAGCTTGGGGTGAGCAAGCCAGGCATTGCAAGTAAGCCTGTCGGGCCCTGGGGAGGAGGACCCACCCCGCTCGAGAGCCTGCTGGATGTCTTCAGGGGTAGGGAGGGGGAAATCAAAAGGCCCCGGGGGGTGAGGTGCTCCTCAATAAAGGCCTCTGGGGCTGGGGTGTCCTCAACTCTCTCCTTAGATACTGCCTCCCAATGGGCCGCGATCGCATCGGAAATGTTCTGGGCACCTCGGAGAACCGTGTCTCCGTGGCCTTCTTGGGAATGCTGGATGCCTTGCAAAACCAGACGGCGGTCCAGGGGCTTCCAGAGCAACGCGCGGCGAAAGGCTTTCTCTGCAGCCCTCCCGCCAAGTCTGCCCCCCATCCCACGCTAAGCTGGAACGGCACTCTGCAAGGCGCGGTCAGAGCGCGCCGCATTGCACGCCAGGACCTCCGCCTCGAACGCGCTCTCGTCGACGATGCGCCCATCGCGAAATTGCGGCCGGGCCGCCCCGCGAGGCGCATGTCCTGCCTCCAGACAGCACGCGCCACCGCCCGCAGTGCCATCGCTTTGGCCCCCAGCGCGTCCTCAGTCTTCTCGCCGATGTCGGTCTGCATCATGTGGTTGCGCGCCATCCCCGCCGCCTGCGCCATCTGGAGCTTGACGCGCCCCCACTGCCCCCTGGGTCGCCATGTCCTCCAACTCACTGGCGGCAATGCTGACCTCAAGTTGCTTCGCGCAGGCGTCAGTGGTGAAGATGAATGGTGGGATGGCCTGCTCGTGCTTCCGAGCCTCCGCCCGAGTCTCCATCGCCAACTCGATCATTGCATGATCACTGAGACCCCACACCGAGACTTCCCGTGCGTCATACTTCGCATTGACCGCGACCTTTGCGCCCCGCATGCACGGTGGTGGGAGCGACACGAAGATCTAGTTAATGTATGTCATCTGATTCGTATGCTTGTCGAAGTGCGACGGGATGGGCGCGGCGATTGCTGTCATATACCATGATCCACAGAGCTTCTGGCGCCAGAAAGGCTCTGAGTGATTCGCTCTCCCCTCCGTCGACCTTTGTGCATGGCGTGGCTGCGGTCGAAGTAGATTTCCACGTGGGTTGTCACTGAAATTAAAGACCCCAAGGGTAACGAGAAGCCGATGTTGTGGAGCCACATATGCCCACTTGCTATTCTCTCCCCAGCAGCGCTGCATCGCAGCCCCGCCCTCGGCGTTGATCTCAAAATTGTCTACATTGCAAATGCGCACTTCAGCTCGAGTCTTCGGGTTCTGAATGTTCAATATCTGCAGGAGCCCAGAGACAATTACTTTGCGCGTGAAAATCGGTCCACCGAACGTCGCGTCGACAATGGGCACTAAGATGGCAATCCCGCCGGCTGCCGAGGAGACGGCGCCACTGAAGTAGACCTTGTAGTGATAGGTGGTTATGTTGATGAGGTACTGCAACGTCATCCCAAACCCATGAACTTCTCGCACTACTAAGATAGCTTTGTGTCGCATCAAGTCATATAGCTTGGCCAGCTTCCGCTGTCGCTTCTGCCGATCACGGTAGAGCAGCCCACGTGCGCTCCATGAAACAATCCTGAAGGTAGTGGGATCGCCCGGGCGCAGCCACGGGGTCCACCGACTGCTGGGGAGACGACCATGAGCTGGTATCGACCGCGCGGAAAAGCTGACGGAAGGTGCCCATGATGGCTGTGGTGCCCAGCTGGAGATCGGAACGCGCAGCTGGACGCCTCCCCCATGCCCATCGCGACCACCTCCGCAACAGGAATCGCCCCGCAGTGGACCAGGCCCGCGTTGCGCTGCATCCACCAGTCTCCTCCTTCGGCTTGCTGGCATAGTCCCAGCAACTTCTTCGTTTGAACCTCCAGACGCATTGCCTTCGGGCTCTTGTCCAAGTTGATGTAAAGCCGCTCCTGTGACCCATCCGTAGACTGCCGCTGAATCCCCTTTCCACTTGCCACTGGACAGCTCCAGATGCTTGGTGAGGTTGACCGCCCTGGCTTTGCCTGCGGCAGCGCCAGAAACGCGTGGGTGGAAGCACTTGGCGGGCTCCTTGACATTGATCGTGATGCAGTCGATGTCCACGGAGGCTGCCTGACTCCACGATGCGATCGCGTCCCTGATGGCCTGCGGGGTGACAACCTTCTCGCACTTGGCGACGAATAGCTGAGGGTCGGGAGCACGATCCCAGGTGGCGAGGCGCATGATGTCAGGCGCGTCACTCCGGCCAAGCTCGTCCACCTGCGCGAGCGTGTGCTGCATGGCTCGGATATGCCCCCGCATCTGAGTTGTCGGTCGCCAGCTTCGCCGTGGTCGCCTGCAGAGCCGTGAGCTCATGTTGATGCTTGTCCATGCACTCCACCTGCGGTCTGATCTTCTCTTCGATCTCCGCGGAGATGGAGATGAATGATGCGGAGACAATGTTCTGGATGGCACTGGGAGCGTCTTCCATCTGCTTCTTGACCGAGGCCTGGATTCGCAATTCGAGGGCAGCGATACCCCGTTGCAGAGTAGAAGCCGCATCTCCATCCCCCTGTGGTCGCCATGGATCGTTCTGCTGCAGCGAGTCGACCGTCGAGGCAGGGGACCCCGCGGAGCGCGAGGCTGTCGAGCGTCGTTCACCAAAGCGGCTGCGGGTGACAGGCTCACGTGCAGAGGGCACACCAGCGACTTCCATGGCGCGAGTAAGACATGCAGAATGAGCCAGACAGCGAGGGCCGGAACGCGTGGAATCACACAACTGCGGCGAACGTGCGCCGTGGTGCTTCGAAGCCGAGGCAGCCAGGCCAAGGAAGGGGCAGCCCTTCCGCCACGGCAGCACCAGAAGACTCTTGCCCCAGCAGCGCCCAGTTCGACTGGAGTTGCCTGAAACGGGAGCTAGCCTCGGACTAGAGGTATCCACTTCTGCCCAGGGGACAAAAACATCTTGAGCCAAAACGGCTACGGAAGAGGAGGAAGAGGAGGAGGAGGAGGAGGAGGAAAAGGAGGAGGAGGAGGAGGAGGAGGAGGGCTCCCCTTGCCACCCGACCGCCCGCGGCAGGCACGCGGAGGCCCGCGATTGCTGCGGCGCCGCGCCCCCCCCCCTCCCTCGACCTTCTCGGGCTCACCCGTCCGCGGCCTTCCCAGGGCTGCCGCGAGCCGCGCGACATAGCCAGCTCCGTCGCTGCTGGCACCAGCCCCCGGCCCGCTGGCGACGGCGCCTCTGGCTCCGACGAGCGCTGCACGAGGGGCCCACCGCCAAGTCCAGCCGAGAGTTGGGACTGTGATGGCGCCGAGCGCATGGAGCGGCTGCTGCGCCGCGCTGTGCACCACCGAGCGCGTCAGCGCTTGCTATACCTCCCTGCCTCCGCAGCCGCGCAATCCGATGGGCCCCCAACATGGGGCCTCCACCGCGCCGTTCCCACGATGATTTCTGGGGCCTCCCTGCCGTGACCCCACGACAGATGGAGCAGCTCAGGGTAGGGAACGAGCTTCTAGGGGCCACGATCGAGCTCTTCGCAGTACATCTGACGGTCGGGACCAGTTGTTGGATGGAGCACACCATGCCAGCGAGTTGGCGTGCAGAGGCAGTCAGCTCTTCCCTCTGCCCCTCGCTCAGAGCAGTGATGGCCATACCCGTGGCAACAACTACCGACTTTGATCAGTGCGAGCAAGGTCAAGTTGCACGAGCACCTACACGTATCCTCGCACTACGCATGGGCACACTTCACGACAGGCTCTGCGAGACACCAGGGAGATGACGATGCTCTCACGGTCGTGGAGATCAGGAGGTGCTCATGGGGTTCGATTGGGCTCGAGAAGAGTGGCGTACGGCCAAGAAGAAGACCTACCCACCAGCGTTGTGCCAGGTGCTAGTGGATGGCATCATGGACGCAGTCAACCACATGCATGTGTCGTGTGAAGACGGGGATTGACCAGAGGCCATGAGGGAGGAGGAGAAGGAGGAGGAGAAGGAGGAGGAGGAGGAGGAGGAGGAGGACGAGGAGGAGCTCCGTGGGTCGCTTGGGGCTTTTTACGTAGAATGGGACCCATACCTCGGGACGGACGAGACCTGGGCTTCAGATTTTGCCTTCCCCCGAGCAGGACGGGTCCGTGCGGACCCCGAACGGCATGGGTTTTTACACCTAAGCCGCCGGACGCAGAAGTTACACCTGAGCCACGGACCGATTTCAACCCTGAGGCGACGCCTCGGGACCCAGGCCCAGTAGAGGCTTCCGATGAGCAAGAGTATGCAGACGTTGCTTAACCTTCATCGAAGGCATCAGCATGCCACAGCCAGAGGACACAGAGCCCCCGTCCATGCCCTCCCTCCCCTCGAGGCCATTCGCCAACGTATTGCAGCCAATCGTGCGCAGGCCAGGGAGCGTCGCAGGCTGCGTCTCGCCAAGGGGATAGCCCCTTGGACGTTGCAGCCCGAATTCGGCATTAGGATTTTTGACCACGCGCGAGACTAGTCAGCGTTGTTGGAGGGGCGGTCGGTCATTAGGAGCAGGACGGAGGTTGGAGCAGCAGCAGCAGCAGTTATGCACACCCCGCCCACTGCGCGCGGCCGCCGCCCGCCCGTGCCACATACGAATGGCACACTCGAGGAAGAGCCGAGCGGCCGACGATCCTCGAATCTCGAATTAGGCTTTAGGAGTCACACGTCGCCAAGTTTGGGCGTTCAGGTCAGAACGCGTTGTGTGCCTCCCCTCCCCACGCTGCCCGCCAGTTACACGTCCCTCCGCTCGTTAGGATGAGGAGCAGAGAGTCGGACGAGTTTCGCTCAGACACTGTGTCAAACATCTTGCCTTGCTGCCTGTGCTTCCCGCTGTCCAGACAGTTTGTCTCGTTTATCTCTGCCGCGGTTCGGCGTTCAGGGACGCTTCGCCAACATCCGTCCAGGACCGCCCGCGCTGCCCCTTTCCTCCTGACCACGGTTGCGAGTCGGAGACGCGCACTTCACTGTTCCTGTTGACTGACAGGCCCCTCTGATCTGTAAGACCGCCAAGGCCCTCAGACTCAGCCTTTTAGCATGCCTGCCCGCCCTTTAACCTTCGAGGGTTCTATGGAGGTGGTGGTCATTTGGGTGGGATGGGACTGACTGCTCTTAACCTGTTCACTAAGTGCCCGTGCAGAGGACTTTTACAAGCACTCTGCTAGCTGCAGCGCCACCTCTATGTGACAGCCAGATGGCTCAACACGCGTGCAATCCAAAATCCGCAGCCGCAGGTATGGCGCGAGCCCCTCCGCCGAAGTGAAGTGGAAATGGGAAGCGACGGAGAGGGGAAGAGAGGGGATGCGGAGAGGGGTGAGAGGGGAAAGGAAAAGGGGGGGCAGGGCTGAACAAGGAGTGTGGAGGGGGATCTGGGAAGGGTGGAGGGGGGCCACGGAGCCACAGGAAAGGTGGCAAGGGAACAAGGAAGGGAAAGAGCTGAAGGGACAGGCGGGGGAACAAAGTTAGAGATGCAAACGAAAAAGGGGCGCGGGCAAGAAAAACATGATGGACCCACGAACCCGGAAAGGGATATAGACATGTGCAGCATGGTCACGTTTTCACGATATCCAACTGGGCGACACCTCACGAAACATCCCACGAGACACCCCGCGAAACATCCCAGGAGACACCTCACGAAACAACCCACGAGACACCTCACGAAACATTCCACGAGACACCCCGTGAAACATTCCACGAGACACCCCACGAACAGGCAACCACTCAACCAGACACCCCACGAAACATTCCACGGGGGTGCGACTGGGTGTGGTCGTGCTGGGGTGTGGTCGTGCTGGAGTATGGTCGTGTTGGGGTGTGGTCGTGCTGGGGTGTGGTCGTGCTGGGGGGTGGTCGTGCTGGGGGGTGGTCGTGCTAGGGGGGTGGTCGTGCTGGGGGGTGGTCGTGCTGGGGCGTGGTCGTGCTGGGGCGTGGTCGTGCTGGGGCGTGGTCGTGCTGGGGTGTGGTCGTGCTGTGGTGAGGTCGTGCTGGGGTGTGGTCGTGCTGGGGTGTGGTCTTGCTGGGGTGGGTCGTGCTGGGGTCGGGTCGTGCTGGGGTGTGGTCGTGCTGGGGTATGGTCGTGCTGGGGTGGGGTCGTGCTGGGGTGGGGTCGTGCTGGGGTGTCGTGTGTGGTCGTGCTGGGGTGGTCGGTCGTGCTGGGGTGGGTCGTGCTGGGGTGGGGTCGTGCTGGGGTGTGGTCGTGCTGGGGTGGTCCGCACCCTGTGATTTATCGATCGGGTCGTGCTGGGGTGTGGTCGTGCTGGGGTGTGGTCGTGCTGGGGTGTGGTCGTGCTGGGGTGTGGTCGTGCTGGGGTGTGGTCGTGCTGGGGCGTGGTCGTGCTGGGCGTGGTCGTGCTGGGGTGTGGTCATGCTGGGGGTGTGGTCGTGCTGAGGTGTCCCGCACCCTGTGATTTATCGATCGGGATTTCAAAAACAAGCGTTTCGCCTGAGACATCCTCAAATTTTAATTCGCCGGCCTCCTTCGACCTCGATATTTATCAGGGAAAAATTTCGCCGGCCTCCTTCAAGTTGGGCACCGGGGACATGTTTACATAGAAAAAGAGAACCCTGGGCCCAAGCCTTTTCCGGGAACAAGAAGAGATGAAGGAGGAAAGAGACCAAAGGGGGGAGAGGATGCCAGAGAGCGGGAGTTCGGTCTGCGTGCCAGCCCTGGTTTCCGGAGCGGCCCCCTCGGGAGCCGACGAGGAGCAGCACGTTGGGACGGAAGCCGCCCCGTCCGAAAAGAGAGGGCAGGTGGGGCCCCAGAACAGCACAGCGGAAACAGTGGCAGGCGCTGTCGGGAAGAGGACGCCGCCGCCTGGATCTTCACCACCCAGTCGGGCTTCGCCTCGAAGAGCATGGTCGTAATGGCGAAGAAGACCTGGTAGACCTTCCACAGTTCCCCGCATGTCGTGTTCATGCCATTGTATCTGGGCTCCGTCCCCTTCTCACCATCATCGCCCCCTCATTCGCATCGTCCTGCGGGCCACGATCTTACTGTTGCGCGCGCAAGGTAGAAGACAGTTGTGACATCTAGCACTCGCCACGCACAGGAAGAAGCGCGCCGTCCCAGAACTACAATGCTACATCCGCCTACTGGCAGGAGCCCATGTTGCCGGGCACTGGCAAAAATGGATCAAGGCAAGGCAAGCGATGCTTGTCAGTTGCAAACATGATGGACCCACGAACCCGGAAAGGGATATAGACATGTGGAGCATGGGCACGTTTTCACGATACCCAACGGGGCAACACCTCACGAAACATCCCACGAGACACCTCACGAAACATCCCACGAGACACCTCACGAAACATTCCGCGAGACACCTCACGAAACATTCCAGGAGACACCCCGCGAAACATTCCACGAGACACCCCACGAAACATTCCACGACGACAGGCAACCACTCAACCAAGGCGGTGTGGTCGTGCTGGGGAGTGGTCGTGCTGGGGTGTGGTCGTGCTGGGGGGTGGTCGTGCTGGGGGGTGGTCGTGCTGGGGGGGTGGTCGTGCTGGGGGGGTGTGCTGGGGCGTGGTCGTGCTGGGGCGTGGTCGTGCTGGGGCGTGGTCGTGCTGGGGCGTGGTCGTGCTGGGGCGTGGTCGTGCTGGGGCGTGGTCGTGCTGGGGTGTGGTCGTGCTGTGGTGAGGTCGTGCTGGGGTGTGGTCGTGCTGGGGTGTGGTCTTGCTGGGTGGGGTCGTGCTGGGGTGTGGGTCGTGTGGGTGGGGTGGGGTCGTGCGTGCTGGGGTGTGGTCGTGCTGGGGTGTGGTCGTGCTGGGGTGGGGTCGTGCTGGGGTGTGGTCGTGCTGGGGTGTGGTCGTGCTGGGGTGTGGTCGTGCTGGGGTGTGGTCGTGCTGGGGTGTGGTCGTGCTGGGGTGGTCACCCTGTGATTCATCGATCGGGTCGTGCTGGGGTGTGGTCGTGGTGGGGTGTGATCGTGGTGGGGTGTGGTCGTGTTGGGGTGTGGTCGTGCTGGGGTGTGGTCGTGCTGGGGTGTGGTCGTGCTGGGGTGTGGTCGTGCTGGGGTGTGGTCGTGCTGGGGCGTGGTCGTGCTGGGGCGTGGTCGTGCTGGGGTGTGGTCGTGCTGCGTGCTGGGGTGTGGTCGTGCTGGGGTGTGGTCGTGGGGTGTGGTCGTGCTGGGGTGTGGTCGTGCTGGGGTGTGGTCGTGCTGGGGTGTGGTCGTGCTGGGGGGTGGTCGTGCTGGGGGGTGGTCGTGCTGGGGCGTGGTCGTGCTGGGGCGTGGTCGTGCTGGGGCGTGGTCGTGCTGGGGTGTGGTCGTGCTGTGGTGAGGTCGTGCTGGGGTGTGGTCGTGCTGGGGTGTGGTCTTGCTGGGGTAGGGTCGTGCTGGGGTCGGGTCGTGCTGGGGTGTGGTCGTGCTGGGGTATGGTCGTGCTGGGGTGGGGTCGTGCTGGGGTGGGGTCGTGCTGGGGTCTGGTCGTGCTGGGGTGTGGTCGTGCTGGGGTATGGTCGTGCTAGGGTGGGGTCGTGCATTTCGCTCGAGACATCCTGCCAAAATTCCAGGAAATCGTACAAAAACAAAGGAATTAGTCGAGACATCATCGAAATTCCTTCGCGCGGGGCGCTTTTCCGCGTCGCGGTCGGCTCTGCAAAACAAGCGTTTCGCTCGAGACATCCTCGGCAAACTCTGCGGAGCAAGCGTTTCGCTCGAGACATCCTCAACACACGAAAAAGTGGCCCGCACCCTGTGATTTATCGATCGGGATTTCAAAAACAAGCGTTTCGCTCGAGACATCCTCAAATTTTAATTCGCCGGCCTCCTTCGACCTCGTTATTTATCAGGGAAAAAATTCGCCGGCCTCCCTCAAGTTGGCACCGGGGGACAGGTTTACCTACTAAAAGAGAACCCTGGGCTCAGGCCCTTTCCGGGAAAAAATAACACCCCCAAAAAAAAAGTGAGAATATGACAGGATATCAATAAGGGGATACCAATAAGGAGTACTTGAAAAATGTTCGTGCGAGGCACGACAAACCGCGAGGAATGATACGTGCGATTCCAGACTGGACAGAACGAATGAAAGCTCGTAAAGGCGCGGGAAACCCATAGACTATATAGGGAGGTGCGAGCTCGGTCGATACTGCATGTCGCGAATTTGGACAAACTTATGGGCATATGAAGAGACGAAGAACAGGAATGAGCCAGGGAATGATGGGTTCAAGATCCGGGGGGGGAGTGCGCAGTCATCTCTGCCAGCATCGCGGGAATGGAAGCGTGCAAGCATGTGGGGATCCTGGGGATGAAATCCGCCGATGATTTTAAAAGAACCCGCGCTTCAGCTCAGCTCTGCTGGGGAGGGCTGGGGGGGCTCTGCCAGGGAACAAGGGGGGCGGGGCGTTTACTAAATTCCCCCCCCCCCCACCTGGGGACCCATTTTGCCCGAATATGTGGGGGAGGATTGGGAAAGGCTGGCAATCCCTGTCTGCCACGGATTCCTGCCTGGGCTCTGTTCGCCTGCAGTTTGCCCGCTCCCACAACCCCTTGCAGCAAGGGATGTCTGCTGTGAGCCTGCCTCGTACATACCGGTTTCCTGATGCTGAGCCTGTTGCGGCAGCCTTGGGCAAGCCACTGACCATCACCATGAGCTGGACTTCAACGTGGGTTTCGGAAAGGGACTATAACACAACAGGTGTCCTCCCACGACCTGTCGCGTGGCCTGGGGACCCAAAAAAATCTCTTTCCGCAAAAGGCTGAGCTGCTCCCAGACAGGTCTCGGGACAGCTCTCGCAGCTTGAGGCGCAGAAATTTCTTGCCCCCTTCACGTCGCCCGCGTCGTCTCCGCCGCCGCCCACAGCTCAGGCAGCGTGGAACCGTGCATCACAGATACGTAAATCTGCGGCTGACCGTCTCGATGAAGCTCTGCTCAAACGGGTGGAGCTGGACAACGAGGTGGCCGAATCTCATTAGTTGCTTGATGATCTCATGGACAAAGACATGGTTGCTGAAGCAGCTTGGCGGAAGCCACACGTGTGTTTGCTGCTGAAATCATCAAGTCTGACGCTGAGCCGAACTCAAACACTATCGACATCGGCTGTCTCTTCAAGGACTCAGCAGAAGAATTCGCTCTCGATGTTGGCACGGCCATCGACATTTTCTGGGTTGGCCTTCTCAAACTCAGATCGACAGGACATTGAAAAAAACGTGATCAATCTACCAAGCTCAAAACTTCGCTCTATGAGGCTCTTACATATGTCAAGGAGCAACCGGACCAGCATAGACAGGAGCATGCTACTCGAATGGGAGAGCTTTGCAAGAAGCGCAAGGTTGACGGCTCGGGTGTTGCGGTGGCGGGTGCAGCTGCAGAGCCAGCCCACAGTGCGAACCAAGGCGGCACTCAGGCGTCGGCCAGCGCCCCCGACGCCGAGTCCGCGGGTTCCCCAAGTGGAGCGAGCTTTGGCGGCCCGCCACCAACCGCGCAGCCTGGGGTGCCGAAGACTGCTGTAGAACAAGGCCAAGGCGGAGCAACTCAGGGCTGATCTCCCGGCTAAGGCAAAGCAGCGGGCGCATGAGGTCAAGGCAGCGGTTTCCAAAGGTGAGCAGCACTCCTCACCCGTGGACCGCCTGATGAGCCCAGAAAGCTCAAGTTCGTTTACTCCAAAAAATCACGTTGGGGCCCCACGGCTGCCAAGTGGGTGGCCGACGCAGATACGGATATGGCACTGTTCGCTGAGCACCGCCAGCAAGGCTCCAAGCATCGATCCATGGCCAAGAAGGCTGAAAAAAGGGTGGCGCACTGTCGCCCGTGAAGCTCAAGGCACTGCGGCTGGCGATTTGTTTCTGGCGTGCTGGTGATTGCACGCTCGTACCCGGGTCTTGCTTCTGCCACGTACGCAGGTGGCAAATGGCCAGAAAAATGGCACCTCGCGCTGGCTAGTCTGCACTCGTCGGCCACGGCATGCCTCGCGATGGATTGCACCCGTGCACCTCCACACGGGTGGCCAGCTCAATGGCGACAACCTGCAGCTCCTGGCGAACGTAGGAGCCCAAACGCCGCGCTCAGGGACCACCCCTGACGCGCCCCCCCTCGTGTCGAGAAGGTGCCACGGCTGCCATATCCTGCGTCATGGCACGCATAGAGGCCGCGCTCAGGGACCACCCCCTGCACATCCCCTTCTGGTGCACGTAGAGAAAATGCTACTGTGCCACGTCTGCCGTGCCCTGCGCCATGGCCCGAATAGACACCGCGCTCAGAGATCACCCCCTGCACACACGTCTGGTGTCGAGAAAGTGTCCAGTATGTCACGTCCTGCGAATCTTACGCGTATGTATTATGAAGTTGTGTATGAGGTGTGAGCGGCTGTAAGTGGACGTGTATATCATGTCGGTGCCTAGTGTGTGGTTCATACGTCTGGGGTGTATGATGTAACCAACACGCCAGGTCTGCACGAGCGTGATATGGTGTGTGCGCGCGTGTGCAGATGCGCGTATGTATGATGTGTGGTGCGTTTGTGTGCTGTGTGTCTGTGTGCTGCAAGTGTGCTGTATGTGTGCTGTATGTTTGTGCTGTGTGTGCGTGCTACGTGTGCGCGCGTGCAGGTGAGAAGGAAAAGGGAAAGAAACTGAGAAAGGGGAGGTGAGGTGAGCTTCTCGCGGGTGGGACGCGGGTGGGAAGAAAAACATAACCCCACTAAGCATGTGGGGAACTAGCGTGAGCTTCAAACAATGACTCTGTGCAGCCTGTGGGACGAATGGTGTGGGTATACTACGACATGCGGCCGATGAATTACGAAACACGACTGTATATGGCATGGACACTATGATGTGGCATGCAACCCTAGAATGTGGCATGCGAACCTATATTATGGCTTGGACGCCTGCCACGCGAAATGTGTCAGGCGTCGCTTGGGCGTCCCATGTTCCAATGTATCAAGAGTGCGTAACGAATAAGCTGTTCAACCTGCTGGCGGCAATGCTACTTTCGAAAATGCTGCTACGAAAACAAATCAAATTAGACAGAAAGGTCGCAGCAAACACTGACGTCTCCCTCGTGCGGCGCGTTCTCTGCAACAGCGATGGGACACCGAAGGATTTCATCTCCAACCAGAAGCGCGGCTGGCCGCGACAGCAATGGGGCAAAAAAGTACATGGACTGAACTGGTGTACGGCGTAGATCTCCCTATGTGCCCTCCTCCCCCCTCCACAGCTGTACTAGTATGCAGAGCTTCATATGCTTACGCATGGTCTTCCAAAAGGATGCCCATCCCACACTCTTACGCCTACGCGCCCCTCTGGATGCTTGGCTTCGCGGCGGCAGCTTACGATAGAGGGGGCCTCATCGTGTGGGATCCTATCGCATGGGACCCAATCGGATAGGATCATATCGTGCAGGAGGCCCTGTCGTGCGAAGGGCCATGTCGCGCGGGACCGTCGTGTGGAACCCTGTCGTATAGGACCCTCTCGTGGGTGTAGCCTTATCGCATGTGTGACCATAGCCTTATCGCATATGTGATCAGATCGTGTGAGACCACCATGCAACCCAAATCGACTCTCGAAAACAACGAGGGGCGCATCAGGCCGCGCACCGCCGCGGACCACCGCGCATCCGCGTGCACTGCTGGAAATCTTGGCAGGCAGAGCCAAGCCATTTCGGGACCCCCCCAACGGTGTGGTGACCACGCCGCGCGGTGAGGCAGCGGGGATCCGGGGTCACAGCACGGCTTTGGGATCCCGGTCGCTCTCCGAGGACATCCCGGGAGCTCGGGGCCTCCGAGGTCCCAGCGCCGTGCGGTGACGGACCCCTCCTCCTCCTCCTCCTCCTCCTCCTCCTCCTCCTCCTCCTCCTCCTCCTCCTCCTCCGCCTCTTGGCAGTTCGAGGTCACCACGCGGTCCGCCACCACACGCCTGTGGGGCCCCCGACACTTGGAGGAGAGGTAACGGGCCAGCGTCGGGCTCGGGACTACAATCGCTCAGGGGGAGGTTATTTCATTAGGCAGCATAGTGGACCACTTCGTGAAACATTCACCTGCTCGTGATGAGTACGTATCCTACACTCGAGAGCTGACAGGCCACCAGTGCCTCGCTGTCACGCCGCAGAGCGTGATCCCACAATGGGTAGTATGCAGTCCCCCCGGATAGCCCTTCTGAAGACATCCGACTCTGCCTCTCAGTGAACTGGCCGACAGCGGTCCCGCGAGTGGCCCAAACATTGCCCAGCTACTCGATCCAGAGTCTGATTGATGACCACATCCCCATGGCCCTGACTGGTCTCTAACCTCTGTGGCAGCGTTTCCAGGTGTCGCACCACATCAGGCTGGCAATGAGCACTACACGGTGAAGGCATTGGATAGAAGCCATTAGACAAGGAATTCCTAGAGCTCCCAACTTCGCGCTCTCGCGCCGCCCCCCAGAAGGGAGAAAAGGAGGACGAAGAGGAGGGCGAGAAGGATTGAGGACCGCGAAGCGCGAAGCGCGAATAACTTCGCGCCCTCGTGGGAGCCCTTGAATTCAGGGTCTGAAATCTCCGTCGAGCACCCGTTGAGGTTTGGCCATGGATATCACCGCCGCCCTCATCAGATAAGGAATCCTCCTGGGCTGGAGGCCTACTCAGCACATTCCTTCGCGAACGCCCGCACCGCACTGCACGTCCCCTCCCCCGAGGCCGAGAGCAGGTAGAAGGTAAAATTCGTCAACAGGAAGCCTAGGTCGATCAGCTGGAGAATCCCACTGATGCATGATGCGAGCCCAACCTTCGCTGCCCAGGAGAGCACAAACAGGACGGATGAGCGCTGCAGCAGCTGCTGCTGGCAGGCGCCCGAGAGGGGCGGGTCGAGAACGGCCGACTGGTCGGCGCGTCTAGCCAGCACTAGCGCCAAACAAACAAATCAGAAAGCAGCCCAGACTAAGTCGGAGCCTCGAGCTGGTGAAACCCGTAGGCATTGCCGGCAGGCCCCTCTCCCAGTTGCCCGTGACCTCGGCAAGCCGACGGTGCAGAAGGAGGCAAGGTCCGAGGGAAGCCAGCAGGGCGGCGGGCACGAAGCGCGCAAGCTTTGCGAGCCTCGCGCCCAACGCCCTCGATAGACTTCCCAGCACAATCGCTCCCTCTCTCCCTCTCTCTGTCTCTCTATCTCTCTCTCTCTCTCTCTCTCGTTCTCTCTCTCTCTCTCTCTCTCTCTCTCCCTCTCTCTCAATATCTCTCTCTCTCTCTCTCTCTCTCCACTATCTCTCTCTTCACTCTGTATATCTCCATCTCTCTCTCTCTCTCTCTCTCTCTTTCTCCATCTATCTCTCTCTCTCTCTCTCTGCCTCTCGGCGGAGCCCAGCAAGGGAGAACGCGCCCCAGAGCCACTCCGCCTTCCTGTTCACCATCCATCCCCTTTCTGGTTCCTCCTCCTCCCCATGTCCTCCCACCTCCTGTTCTTCCCCCCATGCTCCTGCGTATTGAATTACTGTCCTCCGCCTAATCGTCATTACCACCCTCATCCTACTCCTCCTGCTCCTGGTCCCTTCTTTCGCGACCTCCTCTGGAAACCGATGAGCGCAACGGTGCCAACATCGTCTCATTGAGGTTTGCCCGCATGCCAGCGCATGACTCCACTCCCAACCGGCTCTGCGGCATCACGCCACTTCTCTGTCGAACGAGCCTGACGTAGCACGCGTCAGGAAGACGACACGGAAAAGGGCACGTCCAGGGGCGTCCAGTATTTCAGAAATGTCGCCTCTTTCACATACTCCAGATTTCGTAATAAAAGGGAGGGGGTCTGGACCCTCCAAGACAAGCCATTTCAGACCCCCCCCCCGTGGGAGAACCATCCAAAACATCGTCCCCAGACCCCCCCAGGCCCTGCAAGATAGCTTGGAAGAGACCCCCCCCCGAAATGAGACCCCCCTCCCTTTATTACGAAATCTGGAGTACCCGAGCCTCCCCTGTCGCCCCCCAAACCCTCCAGAAAAGCCGCGGTCTTGACCAGGGCGTTCCCCTGCTCGATCTCATTGGTGTACACCTGTCTTTACACCAGGTATGCCACACGCGACGGGACCGGCAAGACTGACATGTTCACCCTGCTCGTTCGGTCCGATCACGCTCACCGAATGCTGCTTGCATGTGACGCCCCATCTGACTTTCACAAATCCACTCCGAGATACTACAAACAAAGGGGCCCGAGGACACACAAATAAATACACACAAATAAAAAGATACCCCATATTTTCCCATATTTTCTGGGTTTCTGTCTTCCCCCCCACTTCCCATATTTTCCCATATTTTCTGGGGAATCGAGGATTCGTTGTGTCTGTGTGTTTTTTCCCTCCTGAACAAAGAATGGTCGCAGCGCGTGACAGGAAAACATGTTGTGTCAGCGTGGACCCCAGTCCGTGGTTATTGCACTCTCGATGTGTACCTTTTGGGGTGCGATTCATCTGAAGCGCGTGACGTCGTCATCTCTTATCTTCGAACAAACATCCCACCCACCAGCACGCAACTTGTTGGAAACAATCTAGAGGCCGTGAGTGCAGTTAGCTGTCGGAACTGGCTGACGAGTCCCAACTGGCGCAATGACGCGCAGACCATTTCTCGTGCAAATTCATTGATTCAGCCCTGCAACAACATCAATCAAAGACAAGTGGTTGACGTGTACTCCAGAGGAGCTCTGTTTTGAAAAAGCTTCAACGCCAACTGTGTCTTCAATAGTTTCGCCTTACGCGCGCGGGGGGCGCGCGTCTGGCCCGCAAGGTATTAATTGACAGGGTTGAGACAACAAAAAAAACGGCACCGCATGAATGAACAATGGTTGTTTAATGGACTCGACAAGCGCGCGGGGTGGCGCGCGTATTGCCCCCATGGTCTTAAATGACAGTGATAGCAGGGGAGCCCGCGACAGTCGCCACATTTGATATCATGGTGTTTAAATGCTTTCGAAGCGCTATGCTTTGTGCAATCCGATTGGTTTCTAAATGTGTCGACATGCGCGCGCCAGAGGGGGCGCGCGAACGGCCCGCATGGTATTACCTTCTACGGAGCGATACGGAACGCGTTTAATGGATCAACGCGTGCGCAGCGCATGGCACGGTTTGACAGAGATGACGCGGCAAGCCGACACTGCTTTGGATGGGATGACATAACTTCACGAGGCGGATGAACGAACGATCGATCAAACTAACGATGAACCAACTCTGGCCCGAGGAGGGGCCAGAAGACAGGCAGGCAGGCAGACAGAGTCATGCAGGCGGGCAGGCAGGCGCAAACAGGACAGAACAGGACAGGACAGGACAAGACAAGACAGGACAGGATGAGACAGGCAAAGCAAGCCAGGGGATAGCAGAACAGGGCCGGACATGGCAGGACAGGTCGATACGCATGGCGGGACACGAATCCATAAAACTGAGTACCGCAAACAAGAGACAGGATACTAGACAGTACAGGACTTTACTCGACACGATGCGGCACCACAACGACACGATGACGCGCCACGTCACGCCACGAGGCGACAGAACTCTAGGGGCACGGGCAACGACACGGACAGGAATGGCGACGGGGACAGAGACGGAGACAGGACAGGCAGACGGCGTGGCCAAAGCAAAGACATGAAAGAACGCGCCAACTTGTCCAGACATGTGAAGACAAAGCGGGACATGAGACGAACGGACAAACGAAGGGTGAGAGAGTTGAGCGGGAAAGCAACGACGGCGAAACCAGGTTGCGCGTGGCCATCCCCGTCCCCTGATGCCGGTTGACCTTGGGGCTGTTCGTTTCCAAATCGTTGCTCGCAGGATCCATTTCGTCCCACTAAGCGCCCCGCGCCACAATTTCTGCGAGCCTTCTGGCGGTGCAGGTCCACACTCGCGCGCTGCGCGCCCTTGGTCGCGCACGTCCGCACACAGCTTTGGCGCGGCGTGCCCGTCGCTTTGTGGGAGGACCTGCCACCCCTCCTCATGAACCTGCTTCGCCCTCCCCCCCCCGCTTCGACATCCCTCCCCTCCCCGTCATCCCATTGCATTTTCCCTATTCCCCATGTCCCTTCCCCGCGCTAGCTTCCCACGTCTAGCAAGTTTGCGCCGTACCCAGTTCTTGCCCCGCCCACTTCTGCATGCGCGCCGAAAGAACCACAACCACTACCACTGTAGATCTCCACTTATATCCCATGAAGCGTTTCCCTTGAAACCCAACCCGCGGCAACACGCACAGCATGACACACCAAAGCGCTGGCCACACACTTCGGACCACATAGCGCAACAAATACGAGCGCAAAACATGGCGCGGATACACCATCCCACCAGCACTTGGGCATGTCTGGCTCATGCTTGCCCAGGTTTTCCACAGCAGCCCCTTCTTCATAGGTCACGCGGCCAGTCGGTGCGAGCACCCCCCAGACTCAAGCCCCGAGGTGGGGGGCCATAAGGGTCCTCCAAAGGGGGCTGGGTGACTACGGGGAGCGGGGGTCCAGCCTGTCTGTGCTTTCACAACATGTGTGCAAAGAACCGCTTGGACTCGAAACCTCAAGCGAGAGCCGTTTTTGTGCCCTGGGGGGAAAGTGGACGTCCATGCTGACAATGCGGAGGTGAAGATGACGAGAAGGAGCGGAGAGGGAGAGCGAGAAAGATGAGAAGGAAGACGAGAAGGAGTGACTAGTGAGAACCGAAAATCAAATGAGAAGGAGGATGCGAAAATCAGAAGGGGGACGAGGGAGCAGGAAGATGAGGAGGAGGAGGAGGACCAGTACAAAATATTATAGCCGGAGTGCAGTACCCCCAAACAGGGTTTCTAGACCCACTGCGGTTTCCAAGGTCGATTGCGTGCCCGCCTAGTGCGGGCTGGCATGGCATGTTAAAACATGCCTCCTCCTCCTCCTCCTCCTCCTCCTCGTCCACCTCCTCTTCATCCCGAAAGGCATCTCGGAACCCAGAGTTGCGAGGATGTCTCCAGCGTAACGGGCTGGACCACCTCGCGCGCGGCATTTCGGACCCCAGAGTTGCGACGATGTCTCGGGCGAAACGTGCTGCGAGGAAGTCTCAGGCGAAACGGGCCGGACCACCTCGAGCGCGGCGTCTCAGAGCTCCGAGTTGCGGGGGCCTCCTGGTGCCTCCTGGGGCCTCCTGGGGACCTCCTGGGGCTTCCTCCCGGGCCTCCTGTGGCCTCCTGAACTCCACCTGAGGTTTCCTGAAGCATCTTGGGGCTCCCAGGGGGGATATCTAACCTGTGGCCGTTTGGGCCTCTCCAAATACAGGGGGGGGCCACAGGAGCAGGAAAAATCAACGAATCGACACCGGATGTGTATTAACTTGACACGTTCTGATAGAGGGCCTCCTGGGGCCTCCTGGGAGCCTCCTGGGAATCTCCTGCGGACCCCTGGGGCCTGTCCTGGGCGTCCTGCGGCCTCCTGAAGCTCTCTGGGACCTCCCCCTCCTCCTGCCTGCTCCCTCATGCACATCATCCGCCTCCTCCTTCTCCCTTCCATCTCCTCCTCCTCCTCCTCCTCCTCCTCCTCCTCCTCCTCCTCCACCTCCTCTTCATCGCGAACGGCATTTCGGAGCCTAGAGTTGCGAGGATGTCTCCAGCGTAACGGGCTGGACCACCTCGCGCGCGGCATCTCGGACCCCAGAGTTGCGACGATGTCTCGGGCGAAACGTGCTGCGAGGAAGTCTCAGGCGAAACGGGCTGGACCACCTCGAGCGCGGCGTCTCAGAGCTCCGAGTTGCGGGGGCCTCCTGGTGCCTCCTGGGGCCTCCTGGGGACCTCCTGGAGCTTCCTCCTGGGCCTCCTGTGGCCTCGTGAACTCCACCTGGGGTTTCCTGAAGCCTCTTGGGGCTCCCAGGGGGGATATCTAACCTGTGGCCGTTTGGGCCTCTCCAAATGGAGGGGGGGGGGGCACAAGAGCAGGAAAAATCAACGAATCGACACCGGATGTGTATTAACTTGACACGTTCTGATAAGCGGCCTCCTGGGGCCTCCTGGGAGCCTCCTGGGAATCTCCTGGAGACCCCTGGGGCCTGTCCTGGGCGTCCTGCGGCCTCCTGGTGCCTCCTGGGCCTCCTGGGGACCTCCTGGAGCTTCCTCCTGGGCCTCCTGTGGCCTCCTGAACTCCACCTGAGGTTTCCTGAAGCATCTTGGGGCTCCCAGGGGGGATATCTAACCTGTGGCCGCTTGGGCCTCTCCAAATGGAGGGGGGGGCACAAGAGCAGGAAAAATCAACGAATCGACACCGGATGTGTATTAACTTGACACGTTCTGATAGAGGGCCTCCTGGGGCCTCCTGGGAATCTCCTGGGGGCCCCTGGGGCCTGTCCTGGGCGTCCTGCGGCCTCCTGGACCTCTCTGGGGCCTCCTGAGGCTCGCAGGGTCCCATGGAGGATATGTAACATGTGGCCTTCTGGGCCCCCAGGCTGGACCACCTCTTGCGCAGCATCTGAGAGCTCAGAGTTGCGAGAATATCTTGTGCGAAACAGGCCGGACCACCTTGCGCACGGCATCTCAGATCTCAGAGTTGCAAGGATTTCTCAGGCGAGACGAGCCGGACCACCTCGCGCAGGGCATCTCAGAGCTCAGAAGTTCGAGGATGTCTCAGGCGAAACGGGCCGGACCACCTCGCGCGCGGCATCTTGGAGCTCAGAGTTTCGAGAATGTCTCAGGCGAAACGGCCCGGACCACCTCGCGCGCGGCATCTTGGAGCTCAGAGTTGCGAGGATGTCTCAGGCGAAACGGCCCGGACCACCTCTCGCGCGGGATCTGGGAGCTCAGAGTTTCGAGGATGTCTCAAGCGAAACGGCCCGGACCACCTCTCGCGCGGCCTCTCAGAGCTCAGATTTAGGAGGATGTCTCAGGCGAAACGCTCAATCCCGGACAACTCAGAAACGAGAGTTGTGAGGATGTCTCAGGCGAAACGGGCCGGACCACCACATTTGTTTGAGGATGTCTCTGCTTAGCTTTCCCTCGGCCGGAATTAGCTTCTATCACAACAGCACCCCGTTCAGCAAGCTGTTTGGGGAATAAAACCAGGACCCATCAACGATCTTGGATTACACCCTCCCTCCAAGATCCCTCATGCAAGGCCCCATACAACGCTGGTCTTTCCCCTTGACGGAATTGCCCCGTTGGGGGACAACCATGCAAACACCTTGAAGCGTGCCAAAACACCGCTCTCAGGACTTTACTGTTGCGTTTTGGCGATCCTGGATCGTACGAGAAAGCAAATCCTGAAGCTTCAACACTGCGAATACATGTAACTGTTGCGCCCTGACAATCCTGGATCCTTCCCCAAAACCATTGCTGGTGCGTTCACCATGAGAACCAGTGAAGTTCCTGCAACTTGTTTAGAACGAACGTGCGCGGAGCTAGGGCGGGAGCCACACCTTAAAATTACCCTGGCGACGTACCCAACCCTTGCGACAACCCAGGCATAAGTGCATCAGGATTGCTACGACGGGGGCGATGGCGCAACATGGACGCATGTAATTTTCCAAACAGCAATCGGAAGGCTCGCAGGCCCCCGGTCAAGATATAACGGTGTCGTAGTGGCTACTAACACAGCCCCCCCAGGGACGGCGAGGTCTCGCTCAGGTCCCCACGGTGCCTCAGTCCGCAGGACCCACCAGCAGCCTTCGAAAGTGGCGACAATGTCGCAGATCGCAGCCCCCCCAGGACGGCGAGATCTCGCTCAGGTCCCCGCGGTGCCTCACTCCGCTGGGCCCAACAGCAAGCCTCGAAGGTGGCGACAGCGTCGCAGATCGCAGCCCCCCAGGGGCGGCGAGGTCTCGCTCATGTCCCCGCGGCGCCTATGTCTGCAGGACACGCCAGCAGCCTTCAAAAGCGGCGACAGCGTCGCAGATCGCAGCCCCCCAGGGACGGCGAGGTCCCGCCGAAGTCCCCGCGGTGCCTCAGTCCGCACGACCCACCAGCAGCCCTCGGAAGTGGCGACAGCGTCGCAGATCGCAGCCCCCCAGGGACGGCGAGGTCCCGCTCAGATCCCCGTAGTGCCTCAGTCCGCAGGACCCACCAGCAGCCCTCGAACGCGGCGACAGCGTCGCAGATCTCAGTCCGCACGACCCAGCAGCAACCCTCGAAAGTGGCGACAGCGTCGCAGATCGCAGCCCCTCCCAGGGACGGCGAGGTCTCGCTCAGGCCCCCGCGGTGCCTCAGTCCGCAGGACCCACCAGCAGACCTCGAAAGTGTCTACAGCGTCGCAGATCAGGGGCGGCGAGGTCCCGCTCAGATCCCCGCGGTGCCTCAGCCCGCACGACCCAGCAGCAACCCTCGAAAGTGGCGACAGCGTCGCAGATCGCAGCCCCAGGGACAGCGAGGTCCCGCCCAGATCCCCGAGGTGCCTCAGTCCGCAGGACCCACCAGCAGCCCTCGAAAGCGGCGACAGCGTCGCAGATCGCAGCCCCCCAGGGGCGGCGAGGTCCCGCTCAGATCCCCGCGGTGCCTCAGTCCGCACGACCCAACAGCAACCCTCGAAAGTGGCGACAGCGTCGCAGATCGCAGCCCCCCAAGGACGGCAAGGTCCCGTTCAGACCCCCGCGGTGCCTCAGTCCGCAGGACCCACCAGCAGCCCTCGAAAGTGGCGACAGTTTCGCAGATCGCAGCCCCTCCACCCCCAGGGACAGCGAGGTCCACGCGAAGCAATAAGAGACAAGAGGGGGGCAGGAGACGGGAGGCGGGAGGAGGAGGAGGACTGGAGACCGCAGTGCTCTATTCAAAACGAATATCCAACCAAGGAGGGTTGACAAAATATCCTGGCGAAGGACCCAACCATGCGCAGTTGTGAATACCGCAATTCTGAATCTCATATTTGCCCGCGCTCCCTGTGGGGCCACGAACCGTGCGAGGGGCGCGCCGAGATGCGTGGCGGGGCACGCGACGCGAGCGAAGACGATAGGTCTGCGAGCGAGAGACTGAGCGCGAGCGAGTCTGATTGTGAATG